GTGGGATTTTCTCTATTCCATAACCCACTAGAGACATACAAATGGACACAAGCTGTACAGTGGCAGTTAGCGGACATCATACAGGAGAACACTGTTGTTGAATAGAATACTCCAAAACTGCTGCCCACTTACCTCCTTCCCAACCAACAGCATGCATAGGAGGCACATGGTTGACCAGCCGTACTGAAGCAAACACCTACTCTGAACAGGCAACTTAAAGCTAATATTTACTTATCTTTAAGGTTTGCTTGCCCTTTTAACCCTCCCATTTATTTCAAGCATTTGCACTCTTGTCATAATTTTTTCCAATTACATTTTGAGGACAACACTGTCACGTCCTTATTTAGAGGAAGATAGCATTTTCACTGAAAGGTGAAAAATCTGTTGCATACAGCACAGCAGACAGTCTGCAGACCCAGCAGGGAAGCTTAAAAAAAATCCTGTTGCCCCATCACTGCAGTGGGTTATGGCAGCATGAAAGAGCATCAGCGCTGAATGAGTTTAGAAGGGGTTTCAAGAAATGCTGCATTACAGAGACCATGGAAGACAGAAGAGGACATACTATGAGAAGACAAGGAAGAAAGTCTCTGCAAGCAATTCTGTTGAAAATGAAAACAATTATAGTGAGAGTGGTGAAAGTGAAGCCTGTATTAATTAAATCAATGGAACCAGTATGTAGGAACCAGTTATGGTCAACCCTTTTTGGCAGATATGCCTCAAGTTAAGTTGCACTTCTTGCCCAAGCACCGCCCTGACCCACCAGCTAGAGGCATACCTCGTAGTTTGTGCCTTGGAAGGAAGGCAGAAACTAAGCCCTCTGGCTGCAAGGAGCAGGGGCAGAATGCTGCAGCAAGGAGTTATCACTGGCAAGAGTCAAGTTAATGTTTCTCTAGAGCCTCACAACCAGCACAGTGAAGTGGCAAACAAGGATCCAAAGCCCTTAATTTGGCAGCAGTCTTCCAACCGACTCCTCTGCAAAGCCAGAGCCTGAGCTACTTTGCCTCCATTCCAGGGCCTCGCTTATATGGCATACATAGCAGCTGCCTGTGCCACTTTTAGCACACAGGCCATGGGCTGGCAACCTGTTTTAGACATTCTTAACATGCAGTACAGTAAATGAGTTGACCTACCTCAGTTCTATGTTTTAATTTAATTTCCATATAAGCATAAAGAAAACTAAAGAAATTAAGCTAGAGGGTCTGTTATACAGTCTTGAGTTTTGTATTTGCACTACTTTTGTGCTACATAGTTTTCAGTAGTTTTTATTTTAGTATTTTTACTGCATTTAAACTCTTAGTCAATGAAGGTGCTTAGTTGATTTTCTTGATGGTTTGATTCTCCTAGGGGATTTTATCAGGGTAACAGCAGTTCAAGGACTTTATCTGTAGTTGTTACCTTATATTGAGAGGAAGTGCTATTTTTCCCGAAGAACTGAACCTTCAACTATGGAACCATTCGGCTTTTCCTTTCCAAAAATCACCTTTTACCAATCGGGTCATCCCAGAACAAATCCCTGTGTCAGAGAGGATACCATGAAGTTCACGCTCCCTCATATACAAACATTAGGTCTAATTTTTCTATAGGTGGAAATACCTCATTTTAAAGTGCAGTAGGGTAGGGGGAGTTCATCTGAACAAAGGACCTACTCCTACAAAGAGGAGCAGAGGCCACAGAGCTAGAAACCAATTAAGCTTGGGCACAACATGATAAAACAGGATCAGATATGGCTCAGAAATGTAAACCATGACATGTTGTACAGGGTTTTTTGTTTGGTATCTTCAAACAATTCCCATTGCTCTCACTGAAGCAAGCGTCACCAGTGTCACCAAAAGCAACCCTACTTGGGAAATATGAGATAACTACGAAGTACACAAAGGTTCCACAGCTGCAGACAACTCTCGCCACTAAATTTTCTCCTTTCAGACTGATGGAAAACCATTCTGAACTAATGCCAGGAGGGCTTCATACAACCATGGGTAGGGTGGGCAGATTTAGGAAAAATTGCAACCAGAACTTCTTACTGAAGTTCTGGAGGAGCCAGGGGAGGTGCATCAACTTGGTGCACTTGAAGCCTTCCTGCCATAGAAACAGCAGATACTAGAGAGGGTCTATGACTCAAAAAAAAGAGCAACAATGTCATATACTCTATTCCGCCTTTGAGAGCCAAAAGGAACCAAAAAGTACTAGAAGCCATCATTATGCACTGCTGATAACCCCCAGAACTCTTTCTGGGGGAAACCACTTACGCCTCCATGGGTTTTGGCAGGGAACAACAAAAAAGGCGTTCTTCCCAGAATGCTCACACACTGATCCCCACACATTTTCCAAATGACAGTAGGAGCTGTCAAAAGGACTTACTAGGAGTTGCATCAAATGTAACAGATTTGTTTTGTTTGGGGTTTTTTGTTCACCCAAATTTAATACCTAAAGCAATTCTGAGAAGAGCAAAGTATTTGTATTACTGCTATCTTCAGTCAATGAATGTATAAAAATCTGCACCAGATCACAATTATCTTTAATGGTGCATTTTGCTCTCTGTACTTTATAATTTGCAATGTGGCCAAACAGCATACATATGCAAGACAGGTGCAACTAACTGCTTAATATCAGAGCTAACATTGCCAAATTGGAGGAACAAGCATTTATAGATATATGCAATACAAAAGTATAGTATAAGTACCTTAATAGAAATAAACCAAGTTGGACTTGAGGTATGAATTACAAATTACTCCTGTCTACTGATCAGGACCTTCATCCAGAGGACCATGACACCAAAGGCAGTAGTAGTGAATGATAAAATGCTGTGTGTTACCTCAGCAAAAACTGGGCTAAGTCACAAACTGAAAAGGGAACATTCTACAGAGCACTGGCAGGGTGTCAGACTGTTCACAGGGCTGCCAGGTTTCATGTTTGGGAAGCCCCAGACCTTGGAGGCGAGCAATTTTGTGGAAATCTCAGTTGACATTTGAAAAAAACCCCAAAACCCTACATTTTCAGATCACCCAGATGTAGAGAGATGTTAGAAAATATAAGCCCTAATAATTAAAAAAATATTTGCAAATCTTATAATCGATGGTATCTCACTCCACTTAAAACACATTTATATGGTACAGGAACAGGTGAATGTTGAAGGGCGTGTGGTCAGTGGGGAGGATTCTATTGTATATGGTGGGTATGTCCCAAAATTAAACTGTTCTGAAAAACTGGAAATGTGGCAAGGGAAATAATAGGATGCCAACTATCAGATAACCCCCCTGAGAATTTTGCAACTTAAGTCATAAGGAACTGATCACTTGCCATCTTCTAGTGGCTGCACAAAATTACAATTGCAAAAAGCCTGGAAGAGAAGTGACAGCCTTACAATCACTACCTGGTTTCAAGGGGCGTTTTTACATATGCTCCAGTGCAGGGAGGAAATGTTTTAGAATGGCTCTTCAAAGCCTCTCTAATTAAAGTGCCCACAGCGTCTCATATATTCAGCATCCCGTGCTCCAAAATGGCAGTGGGGGTGCTTTAACTAAAGCTCATTCAACAAGCTTTTAGTTAAAAGCACCCCCACCGTCATTTTGAATGTGGGGACATTGAATACATGTGATTTTGAGGCTGTTGGAGCGTGCTAATTAGCATGGTCTGGCAGACTTAATTAATCAAGGCTGCTCCAACGTGTTATAATTAGAATGCATCACAGCAGGCATTGGGCACCTGTATGGGTGCCCCAAAAGCCTGAAGTTTTAGTAAAGGAAAAGTTGTTGTCAAGCCAATGTTCTACAGGGGAAAAGGAGAAAAAAAAAAGCTTATTCAGAATTTTGGTGGAAATTCTCCTCTCACCAGCCACCACCTCTGCCCTAGTCCCAGCCCTGTGCCCCCCAGTACTGTCTCCCCAGGGCTGCAGCCTAAGCCTTCCCCCTGCCCCATGGTGTCTATCTGCCTGCCACACATGCTGCTGGGCTGCCCCCGCTGGGCCTGGGGGAACCAAGGATAGGTGAGAGGGAGGGTAGATGCGGGGAAGATAGAGCTGAGGTGGGGCAGAGATGCAGCTGAGCCCCACTCAGGCTGAAGTTGCCCAGGCACTGGGAACAGCTTGAAGGACACATTTGACCAAAAGATGCCCAGATGCGTGCAACAGTGAGCCCAGGCACCAGGTGGGCAGCGATCTCCCTGCACAGCTCCCGGCCGAGTGCCTCAGCTTCGCTCTCAAGGGACCCTGCTGTCTCCCTCCCCTCCCTGCAGTCTAAAACACTGGTGTTGTGGTGGCCAAGGTTATGGGTGAAGCATAGAAAAATCATAGATAGGGACCTATCAAATTTATAATTTTGCATTTTTTGCAGAAACCATGAATTTGGTAGTTCCCCCATGAAAAATCCTGGGAAAACAGCAGCGAGCCAGCAGAGGATAAAGAGAGGCCGGTGCAAACAAAAAAGGGGGCTGGAAGCCCTGGCATCCTGGAGCATGGGGGTAGGGAGGGTAAATTGGCTGTGGGGCCTTAAAAGTCCTGCCCCTCCCCAGAAATTGACAGATGGCCATATGTTGATCTCTGGGGAGGGGCAGGGCTTCCAGGGCCCCATGGCCAGAGGTGTGAGGGGCCTGCTGTGCTTTGCTGCAAACATGGTGCCCAACGTTGTGCAAGGACCATGAAATATGGAGGCAGCCTCAATGAATCAGGTAGGCCCTTAATCATAAAAAAGGAGGGCTGGAAGGGACCTTCCTAGCTCTAGTGACAAGTCACAGTTGTGCAGGTGGAGGACAATCAGAGAAGGTTTCTAGACTTCTAGGTGTGACTGCTCCAAACTCCAACCTAGCACTAAGCTAGCATTAAGATGATCAACGTTTGTACAATGTGTAACAATGCTGCTCTCAGGTATAAAAATATTCTTAAGAACAGTTATTCCGCCAAGATGCTTGGAGGTAAAACATGTTTGCAAAATTAATGGAGCCTTAAAAATCAGAAAAACACTTTCACAAAATAGTGACTACTACTCTTTTTACAAACATGAGATTTTATGCATTTTCAAATAAGGTCAATTCACTTAATATAAATGAAGTTTTTAGCATATAAATACATATGGAAATAATACAGCTACAACTAGTATACTTAAATAGTGTACATCATTTACAGTTTCAAACATTATACACAATTTCAGACTAATGTAGTTTATCTACATACATATGTATTTCAGAACATAAGCACAATAATGCTCACAGTTTTAAATAAATACAGTGTTGAAAGAGAATGCTGCTGGAACTCTGTTCTTGAATAATCCAATGCATTTCAGTAGAGTTAACTTTGTTCCATGCCAGCCATGAGTGACACGGCTAAAGACTCCACTGTGAAAAAACATTTTAAAGGCTTAGAATTAATCAGTCTACAAATGTTTACTGTAAATTGTCAAATTTATAGTTTTATGAGGCAGATAAGACAGACTTTATAATTAAATAATGCCCAAGGTTCTGCAACTGTATCAGGCACTGTACCTGGGATGAATTTTTAAAGTAATGACATAGTGGCTGAACTGTTAATTATGTAATCACTAGTAAAGCACCCTTCAGATGACTGTGTGGAACCTTAATTACAGTACAATTAAAATCTAAACTTCATCCTTCATAAAATGTGTAAAAACACACACAAGTGAATAATACCACTAACAGCAGAACCAACACTGAGAGCAGAATCTCATGTTTACACTAATAAATTTACATCAATATAGCTAATCTAGGTTCTGCTCCTGTATATTTATGCTCTTGAAATTATAAATCACCATATCCAGATACCCTGTCATGGTGAAAAAACAATACAATTTAAAAGAAATTCAGTTGGTGTTATTCTTGCAGTCTCAGACATCAACATATTCCGCTATCACGTTGTCAAATATTTTATTCTTAACTCTAAGAGTACTTAAAGTGCACTTATTTACTTCTAAACACTTCGTGAAGTGGTCATAGGTCTGCAATAATGCTACACAAAGGTGATATTCTCACTAGAAATCAAAATGTTTAAGACTGAAGCACTACCTCATTGTGACACATTAAAGCTGTAATAGCTAACAAAGAAAATAAAATGGAACTCTCGAATCCTAACAGACGTAAATGGATCTCCTGGAAATGTGTCAGGGTAAGTACAGTCTCCTTTTTCACATGCATTTCACCATACAAGATTATGGTGCTATAAAAGAAGAAATGATATTGCTAAATACTACTGAACTGCTAAAAATACGATGTTGCAGGTTCTTTTACCCATTTTAGGACATCAATTCTGATGAGATGAAATAAACGTAATAACTCTCTTTAGTCTGTAGTAGGCATTATAAACATTTTAATCACTACAAACATAATAAAAATGTAAATCAAGACTATGCAATTTATGTTTGAATGTGACCAGCTTTGACTACAAATTTTCTTTTCAATATGTCAGCCATTGTTAGTGACAAGTAACCAAGTGTCTAATCATCATGTGTTTTATTCCAACTGGCACGTTAAGACCTTTGGCAAAATCATAAATTATGATTGAAATCAATTATTTTGGTATTTGTGTACCCTTGTCATTCATCCTCTTTCAGAGGATTAGGCCAAACGAAATAAGTTCCACTGTTCATTAACAAAGCATGACAAATGCTCAAGGAGTACATCTACAGAGTAAATTTACCATCCCCAGCAGCAAGGGCCACAGGCACATCGCACTGCCCAGTGTAGGCTGCCTCCCTAAACTGAAGCAGTACAGCCAGGTCCACATTCTGCCAGGGGCAGACTAATAAGCATGGGCACTGGCTAAATGACCCAGTCACTCACAGTGCTAGTTAGCTTACCTGAAGCCCTGTAACACTGCTGATTCAGAAAACAGCACACCTGGAGAAGCAGTGGTCTTAAAAGGCAGAGGCCAGAGACGGTGAGTTTGCCAAACAGACAGTACTAAGAAAACTAGAAGTATCATCAGAAGAGAATGTTTCCAATATCTGAACCTTATCTCATCTTTATATGGGAAAATGTACAAATTGGAATGTATTAAGAGACATTAAATACAGTCCCATCCCATAAATTCCTGATAAAGTTTTCCACGTAAAATCCAGGGTATACATCAGTACATTAAATGCCAATTGCATTAAAAATGTTCTGTATACTCACAGTGAGGAAAAGAGCCTCTGCAGACTGCTTTGTTTAGAACTGTTACAAGAAACATGTGACAATTTTTAAAATCAGATTCCATCTTCTCTATGGATTCCATCCTAAGAAAGAAGCGCAGTTCAATTCAATTAACAGGTTAATAATTATTTATAATCCACATAAGATTACTTAACCTTCCTTTCTAAATGATGAAAAATAAAAGCTCTGTTTACTGAAAGCTTTAAGGCAGTATTTTTCAGGTGTATCAGGACAATAGTCTCGATTCCTGATTGTGGCTTCTAGACACTACCACAATATAAATAATAAAGTATCCTTCCTACCACCCTGTAGTAGGTATCTAACAAGTTAAATCCTGCCTGGAGAAGATGTGCTCCTTTTGTCCCTCCCTAGTAGGAAACGGACTCCAGAAGGCAAAAAACAGATCTCACTTTAACACTTGAGAGCCTGAAAGGCTGAACAAACTTAAAGAACAGGCTAATTGATTCCCTTATCAACTAAACTATACAACACTATCTTATAAGCAGGGATCCTGGTCTCTGATAACCACCCCCCCTCCCACTAATTTTCAGTTTAAAAAAAGTAACTTAAAATCCACGATTAAAATGACACACCACTAATTAATTTCCATGATTAAAATGACACACCACTAATACATAGGTATAGCTATATAGATATATCTATATATAGACATATGTATAGATATAAATATATCTATATCTATCTATCTATCGAGAGAGAGAGACAGAGAGGTGTCATTTTAATCATGGAAAACTGTGGATTTTGGGTTACTTCGTTTTAAATTGAAAATTGGAGATTTTTTTACCACAGAAATGCAGGATCCCTGCTTATAAGTTAGGGGTAGGGTTCTGGCATCAATGGAAGTGGTTAGGCCAGCCCTTGTATAAATCCCAGCTTGGGTGAACTTCTCATCATGTGCTCACATAGACATAACAGGTATCATAGGAGGAAAAGCAGTGTTTCTTATAAGAAGTACCTCGCTTACAAGAACAGAGGGCTTATTTCTGGCAAAGGGAGGTTCTGAACATTCTAAATGTTCTAAATGAACATTCTAAATGTTCTGAACATTCCAAATGAAACCCTGCCTCCATTGAAGTAACTGGCAAAAAAGCTTCCAGCTACTTTAATAATGCCAGGTTTCCCAACTCTCAGACCTAGGACAAGGTTCTTATCCTAGACAGTCTGCACATAAATGGGAGACTTCAGGAAGAACACATCAGACCAGAAGAAGTTAAACACTTTTTCCATTCTCCTGCCTTCAGAACACACTAGAATGAGGTCAAGTCCGCAGTCCTCATAAAAACAAATGAATGTCAATATTCACTGCCAGTGATGTTAAAGCTAAGTCTTAGACAGAAAATTAGAGCACAAGGAGGATAACTGAGCCTTTCACTTCATTATGGCTAACAGAGGAAAAAAAGTAACTTTCTTATAGAGTTCACCCTTCTTACTGAAAAATAGTTTGATTTTTCAGTAAGAAGAAGCAGCAGGTACATGCAGGTGATGAAGCATCACACATTTCATTTTTTCCATTATTTTTCCTAATTATCTTCCACTAAGCAATACAAAGTAACATCACTTCATGCAAAAAGAAGTGCTCCAGAAAAAGCCAGAACTGTGAAGTAATCACATTATAAAAGTTTATTGATATATACTTACTTCCAAGCCCCCAAACCAGCCTGCCAACGTTCTGTGAACATCAGTACCAAGTTCAGTACTTTCATTATAGCTTCTTTTACAAAACTAACCTAAAAAGGAGAATTAAAATGAAAGTAGTTGTGGGTAGGATTTTATTATTTTAGCAGGCCATAAAGTGACAGTACAAAGTGCGTGTTTTAATTTGAATCAATTTTATGATCTTTATGTTCCATTCTGCTTGACTATTTTATGATGCCTAATGCAACCAAAGATAAAATACTAGAGTGCTACCCCATGTAGCAAGTGTATCACCTGTGAAGTACCCAGGTGTCAAATCTAGTGTTGACATTTAAAAATACCACAAGTGACAAATCTGAAAAAACAAATGTAATCATATTTCTTGGCCTTATTTATACTTGGTAAACCCCATTTGCTCTCCTATCTCTTATAGGAACTTTTAAATTGGATGACCATAGATTAAATATCTTAGATTATACAACTGCTGCATTTAACAGTGAAGTAACTATTTAAATATTTGGGTACAGCCAATTCAGACTTTGCTACCTCTGTAATGGATCATATCAGTAACATGGTAGAACTATGAAGGACAGGAATTCTCTTTACCTTCCATTTCTGTTACTGTAGCAGACAATCTTAAATATATTTCCAGGTACATTTACAATTTGTTCAAATTCCCACCCACTCTCCATTCACCACATCTCCTAACCAGATATAACCCAAGTAACATTTGAAATATAACTGAAGTGACCAAAGAGTCAAGTCAGAGATTTACAAGGGAAAGCAGGTCTCAATATGCATTTTGGAAAGGCACTGCCTCTCCTAACCATACTTATATTAAAAAACCCAAGACACAATGCATAACTTAATAAAAATATGTTCTGCCGTGTTCAACTGCAGTTACAACTTTTAGTTTTACTTCGCACACCTTTTCTCTCAGAAGGCAGCGATCATGGATTGTAGACAGGTATCTATAATGAATTTTTATCAGTTGATCTAAATCTTTGGCTTCTTCTACTTGATGCTGAAACTCCAAGCCTGTACTGTGAAGAATCTTTAAAAGAAAGACAGCCATGAGCATTTAAATGTATAGAGTACCTCAGTGCCTGGAATGCCCGTTCTCTTCCAGGTTGTCTAGAACCTCATCAGGCCATGGAGAGACATACATTTGGGGCTCTCCAAATCCCACTCCAATTTGGAGCACTTCAAACACTGAGCACATCAGTGACAGAGATGTGCAGCTATCCCCCACACCATCCACCAGAGTACTTTAAAAATCTCTAACAGCTCAAGAAGTGAGAGTGTAGTTAGTCCTCTTGCATCCCACAGAGCTTTGCCCCTAATCTACCCAGAGAGCTGGGGTGAAAAGAACAGAACAGTGAGCCAATGAATACTCAGCATTAGAGCACACTAAGGCTTTGGGGGGGAAAATATTGAAAAATAAAAAAAATGTTACTATCAATATACTGAACAGCACACATTAAAATACAGTTTAGCATTTGCTAAACTGACTTTAGATTGTCTTTCTTAAAATCCAGGAAAACATTTATTTTAAAGTTTGAATGTAAATGTTCAAAAAAAAAAAAAAAAAAGATTTAACTGTACACAGAGGTTTAGTCAAAAATTATTCTGAATAACTAGCAATACTACATGTGCAGTTTGAAATTCTTAAAGTGAGAGAGATTATTATAGAGAGACAAACCCTGGTCATGATGTAGTTGTGCAAACTGTTTACAAAATGCATGAGTTTCACACGTAAGAGGAACATGCGATGAATTTGTTGTTTTATAAGCTCGGTGTGTGGTCCAAACTGAGGAACTCTCTCTTGTTGTAATAAAGGTCCTTCCTTGAGCTGTGGCTTTTCTGCAGCACTAACTAGTTCTAAAAAAACCCCCAAAATAGGAAAGATGTTAGTATGAGCACATGGTATACACAACTGTATTTAAAAATTGAAATTTCTCCATTTTTTTTATCAAGTATCTGCACATAAATACACTGAAACAGCTTTTCCCCCTTCCCAATTCAGATGTTTTGTTAAGAACTACTTATGTGAAGAATATATAGAGAAGTGGTTGAGGAACAAGGTATGTGCAACTGCCATTTGCTACATGCTAAAACAGTAGGAGCCAACCTTCTTGGCAGGCATGCCACAAAGTCAACCCTGCACCCTCTGAGTGCAACTCCGATCCCCTTCCTGATCTGTTACTCCATTTTCTGCTTCCTGCCCTACCTGTAACCTGTGTTCCCTGTTCCCTCCCTGATCTACTGCATGCCACACAGAGGCTGCTCATGCCACTTGTGGCACCCATGCTGCAGGTTGGCCACCCCTGTGCTAAAGTAAAGAGGTAGGCGAGAGCCAAGGAGTCAACATAAAATACATATTAAAAAACCCCACAAGTTACACAAACATGTCGCCAGCCTAAGAGATAGAATGTGTCAGGCTTTAGCCAGATGCTTACAATTTTAAATACATTTTAACAATTAGAAGACACAATTCTGAATACCTTCAAGCAGAACTGCCTGATAGGGTTGCAAAAGCTATAGGTGAGCCCCTTACTCCCTGTACCTTGCTTATCCCCATAAGATCAAACCCTGCAGCCAATCCCAATATGGAGTTTTATAGAGTTATCAAGTTTAACCTTAAACTATATCTACCGACATGCCCTAAAACAAGACCTTAGATTCAGTAATAGATTTAAAAACAGAATCTCTTGTTCAAGAAATTTCTTACCGTCAAATCGTAAAACATCTAGACTGTACTTAGCCCACTTTATTTGTAATAAGAGAAGAAACACTTGATTGTAAATTTTTTGACATTCTAAGCTTATAACTATATCCACAGGCCAAGGGACCTAAAAGTGTAAGGGAAGAAAATTAAGAGTATTTAATTTCATGGAGCTTATTTCAAGTGTTTTAAAATTAAAGGTGTAAGAGCATTATTTTGTGACTGGGTTTTACCTTGTAGCTCAAAGTTAAGCCATCTAAGGTATGGACAGGGAGTTTCTTCTTTGCTGTATCAACACTTTCAAAAGATATAGATAGCCTATGCAAAGAAACAAGGACTCTAGTTAGCAATGGTTTGCTAAAAGAACTAGCAGGTAGTTCTTTTACTTAAGATTTTTGCTTTAATTTACCACTGTTAAATATCAATGATTAAATATTATCTGGAAAGAAATGAGTGGTTAAGATTATCTCTGTGCAGGGCTTCTTTAGAAAAATGTTATAAAAGAAATAAGATTTATGAAAAAAACATCACTGCAAGTGAATAAATAACAGAGCTTGTGTGAAGGAAGAGTAAAAGCAAATGTCTGTAGGTACAATTGAAATGAATATTACAATATTAACTGAAAATCATTAGCTTACTGCCAGTCTACTATTTAAATATTTTACTACTATGCATAATAATCCAGTGTCATGCTAAGTAAGAGGAATTTCACTGTGCTGACAAATAAGAGCAAAAAGAATACTTATGTATTACATTAACTTATTATTTCAACAGGGAGAGAGAAGGAATTCAGTTTTTTTACTATTACTGTAAACAATTTAATGCATTTTACCTTGAACTGTCCTCTGGGTAACGCTGACCAACTGCCTCCTGTAGCTGAACGTTTAGGAATGATACATTCTGCCAAGTTTCTTTTTCTCTAATCTTATCAAAGATAGATGTATAGAAATCATACATAGTATCTCCAGCTTCAAGCAAGAAGAAGTTTCTCATTGCTTGCAAGTACTCTACTAGCCTAAATAAGAAACACAAGTATATGAACATTTCTTCAACTTTCACTGTTAAGTCTTAGTTTAACATCAAATGAAATACCATATACTATAACCCTTTAGACCAGCGGTTGGCAACATACGGTCAAGATTCAGATCCATATCCTGGAACCAGCCCGCAGAACCAGAGGGCTTCACCTGTGCCTTGGCTCATACCCGGGCCAAGCAGCAAGGAGCTGTGCTAAGGTTGGCCTGCTGAAAGCACCACCTGTACCACTGCTGTCACTTCTCCTCAGTCCCCTGGCTGCAGCATGGGTGCAGCTTTTAGCCAATGGGTAGCTGCGCCACAGCTTAGGAACAGAGAGAAGTGGCATTTTGCACTGAGGAAGCAACTTGCACTGAGTGCACTGAGGAAGCAACTGCCAGCTATTTGGCCCTGTTGCCAGGGCCACTGCCCAGATGCACTGAAGCCGCAGCTTGAGAGCAGGGGGCTGGGGAAGCAGTGTTGGCAGGGAAAGCCCTCTGACACTGACAGCCAAAGTCACTCAGCTCTCACTGAACTGGAGCCAGGCTGGTTCCAACCTGCAGCTTGTTAAAAAGGCTGCTGGTCCTTGTTTTAGATGCATCTTCACTACAAGAACTCCAAACTGAATGGCATACTTCAGTAAACTTTGATAGATTCTTGTATTCCTACACAGGTACCATTTGGACCCACATCTAGCACAGGTACTAAAGTCTCATTCTTAGCTTTAAAGTGTAGTGCCACTGATTTACTTATGAGTATTTTCTTAAAATGAGTCCTTGGTTGCCAAGAATAACCTTATGGGAGAAAATATTGGTCGTGTCTATGCACTGGGCTCCCCGGACACCTACGCACGTGCCTGACACCTACTCCAACGTGTTCTAATTAAAACATGTTGGAGCAGACTCAATTAATTAAGTTTGCTGGAGCGTACTGATTAGCATGCTACAACAGCCTCAGTGTCGCATGTATTCAGTGTCCCTGTGCTTCAGAATGGCAGTGGAGGCATTTTAACTAAAGCTTGTCCTGTTGCCATTTTGAAGTTCAGGACACTGAACACATCAGACAATGCAGAAGCTTTAAATTAGAGTGGCTCTTGAGAGTCATTCTAATTAAAGTGTCCCTTCTCTACCCTCACACTCCCACACTCCTGAACACGTATAAAGATGCCCACTGTGTCTTGTAGCAGCACACAAACACTACACCAGCAGTCAGTTACCTTTCTCAGCTGTGGGCCAGAATGACTCAGCTCAGGTTAAAAGCAAGCAGGAAAAAAAGGTGCTAGGACCCATGCACCACAACTACTTTGCTGCGCAGCGGCCTGGGAAGAGCATCTGTCCATTGATGTTCCCCAGAGGAACATGGAAAAGTGAGTGCTGCCAAAGCCATCTGCTGCTGGATGTCTCCAATGCCTGACATCCAGATGCTGAATAAAATGGTTCTGTGGGCAGGAACCAGCATGTGGGCGATAAATTGCCAACTGCACTATACTGTTCCAGGCAGCATACCTTCTAAGCTGTAACAGTGCTACAGCCAAGCTAATCAACACAGGAGCAGACTGACAAGCCCTGTCACTCAGCAGTGCCAATTATGCTGTCTGAAGCACCATGCAAATATGGCTATGTTGCTTCTGGAAGGCAGCCCATCTGGAACAGTGCAGCATGCACAAGGACACCACTGCTACACAAAGTAAGCTATGTACACAGGGCCATATATCACTAAAAAATGCAGAGCATGGGAAAAACTCCAACTTCAAAAAGGGACTTTTGCTTAAATACAGGCACTTAAACAAAAGTCCCAATTTTACTATCACCTCTCAATGTGTTGAAAAATAGGAGACTATTACCTCCCTACCTTAGGAATGTTGTAAGAATAAACACAGTAAATGACTGTGCAATGTACAGGTGCAACAATGAATGGAGCCATAAGGACTAGTGACAGATTAGAGAAAAGTGATGTCCTGGAACTACTTCAGATATCAATGCCATTTTATTTTAAAATAATGCAACTAATTCTGTAGTACTGCCTATATTATAGTTAAGTTCAAAATTGAGTAATCTCTGCAGCTTCACCTGATTAGGCTATTAAGGGAATGAAATCTCCTAAAGTCTCACTTAAGTTAAACATTTTGCCAGCAATTTAAATGGTGCTAGGGTTTCATACACTTTCAAAGGATACGAAACACAACATAGTAAAAACACAAAAAGTTGCAAATGTTAATACTTTAGTAAACAGAAGTACTTAATACTATATGAAGTTATCTTTTTTTTTTTTTTAAGTGATTCCTACTCATTCCACAGATGTAATCAGTTTATATGGCCACTTAAAAACTATGTAGATAAGACATAAAAGAGTGAACAGAATGATTAGAAAAATGTTGTCACTTCATTTAACGCTTTTTCTATTATTTATCAAAGAAGATAGATTTTCTTTAACTACTGCTTTTACAGTAGAATGTGAAAGATAAGAAACATGCCTTTAAAAAAATAAGGCTCAATTTCATTTCTTACCTGTAATCTTTTTTTAAAGTTTGCATTAAATTGCCACAGCACTCCAAATATTGCTTGTCTATGTGAGGATAAAGGCAAGACCTCAACGTCAGTTCAAATGTCTGGCATGTCACAGATTCAGAAGATCTATCCACACAAACATCCCCACCAGTAAACTTCTCGTGAAAGTCACTCTGCTCTAAATACAACCTTAAAAAGGAAAACACATTGCTCAGGTCAGTGGTTTTCAAACTTCCTAAAATTTGTGGAACCCCTACCCCTTCTACAGAGCCAGGGGACATGGCCTGGCAATGGTGGTGCACCACCTTCTAGCCCTCTCTGCCATTACCCCCAATCTTTCTGGAACCCCCGATGACCTATTGCAGAACTCCAGGGTTCCACAGAACAGCCTGAAAACCACTAGTTAAAATAAAAGACAAAAGTTATTCTTAGAATACCTCCCAAAAGAGTGTTCTATATTCAAAACGTAGTGGTCTCATTTAGGGGTTTTTACTTAAAAAGATGCCTTGCAAAGGTAAATTTTTCTCACTATAGTTACTGTTAACAAAATGGTGTTCATGTCGTAACTTAGCCACATGGTCATCCATACCACCTATGTAGAACAAAACTCTTCATTTGGATTGCATGCTGTAACTAACTCAAACTCATGATGGAGTATCTTGGAATCTTTCTAGAATTTACTTCTTAAAAAGTAAAAATACTGAAAACTCCCAAGTAACAGGTATTCTTATATGGCCTTTAGGGATAAACTGTGACCCAATAAAAGGAGAAGGTAGTAGATAAGCTGTACCATCTGCCACCTGTACTAGGAGGCATTGTTACACCCTCAGAATAACAATTACTCTAATTTCCTTCATGCTCTTATACAGGAAGGGACTCACTTCCAACCTGTACAACCATAAACTAGCTGAGTCAGTCAGCCCTCCTGCTCCGAGGAATGAATAAATAGGCGAGAAGTTCCATGGTCTCTTATGTTTGAATTCAAGATCTGGATAACTTATATATAAGAGCAAGGGGGAAAAAAAACTTTTTTTTCATAGATGCAAAGGCTGAATCATAGGGCTTATCTATATGGCTAAGTGACTGAAAAGCTAGGAAGAGTGACGAACGTTCTGCAACTCTACATTCAAAGTCCATTGTAGACACCCTTAATGCTCCAGGCTGCCCACACACTCTAGCCATAAAGCAAACAGACATCTACCACAATAAAATGGGCACAAATTATTACCACCTTCAGTTCTGACTACACTGTGGTGAGACACAAGTTATAGATGTATATTTATTTTTGTTTTGTGCTGCCATAAAAATGTTTATGGCAGCTCAAAGGCAATGTCTGCTTCCACCCTTAGAAGCATTCTCTTTAAAAGAATAAATTGGGGATGCACCAATAAAGATTTTTTGGGCAGATACCAATTATTAATGAGCTCTATCAGCTGATACTGATCTGATTGCCGATATGCATCTTGGCAGCATCCAGCTGGTAAGTCTGCTGGGGGTCTGGGACTGGGGCAGGTGCTGTCCGGCTGGGGTGGGGCATGGACAGAGCCGCCGGGGTGAAGCATGGGACGGAGCCGCAAGTGGCTTGTCTGGGGGCACTCAGGGAGCAGGGGCAGCTCCCGTTGCTTTGCACAACCCCAGGGGAGGCCTGGGGGGCATGTGCCCCCCAAATCTGCGTGCAGGGTGAGGGTGGACTGCCCGCTGCGGGCTTGTTTTATGGTGGCTGTAGCCCCCCTCCCAGCACTGCCACATGTTCCAAGTGCAACCCCAACTCAGCCCCTGTCAGGAAGAGCCTGGCATCACCCCCAGCCCACAGTGGCAACCCACTCTCACCCTGCACACAGTTCTGGGGGACGCATGCCTTCTCTGGGGGTGCATGCAGCAGCAGGAGCTGTCCCCCACTCCCTGCACCCCACCCGGATGAGCTGCTTGCAGCTCCATCCCATGCCCTGCCCCAGCTGTACAGCACCTGCTGCCCTGCCCCAGGTAAGCTCTTCCCTCCCTCACTGTGGGGGCCTCAATCTGCACCCCACCCTCCCATGCCATTTCCCTCCCCTCTGCCCTTTCTCCACAACAAAATTACTGGCCAGACGCCACTCTCCAAGCTTCCAGGCTGGCCACGTGCATGCTGCATGTGCACATGCATACACATGTATGCAGCATTTATCAGCGACATTAAATCGGCCACATCAGCCAAAAAAAAAAAAAAAAGCAGACTGCCAATAATGTCAACTTTTCTTTTAGTGGTGCTGATATGATATGGACTTATGCATCAGTGCACCTCTAACAACAACGACTAAAAATAATAATAAAAATAAATAAACAAACAAACAAACAAATAATAATAATAATAATAGAAAAGAACCACCAAGAGGCACCTTTCACTATATTCAAACGTTTCCAGAAGGTGTAACACTAAGCTGCCTAATAGTGTTTAAAAAAGAAATAAATGGCTATATTTCTTTCTTGCCACAAATTATGTTCTGAGTCAGATGATTCAGAATGTTGTTAACGTTACACCTGCCGAAGGGACGTACAGAAATTTACTAAAGCCATCCCTGCTCTAAATGAAGAAATAAGGATTTTTATGGTAATCAGATTTTTTCTGTAACATTTAAGCTAAACTTTAGACCCACAAAAGAATCAATAATATATTTTTCTGGTAATCTGCTGAAGGGAAACACCAATTCAAATAAAAGAAGTTATAAAAATATATAAATATGCATATTACAAGTACAGTAAAAGCGCTGTTATCCGGCACCCCCTGGGAATGGGGGATGCCGGTTAATCAAATATTCCAGTTAATCAAATGTGCACCGTCTGGTACACTCCCTGGCATCAGTGTGCCAGGGGACAGGGAGGGGGGCCCTGAGCAGGCTGCTTTGCCCTGGGCTGTGGACCGAAGAAGTGGCAAGAACTCTGCTCGCAGCAGTGGCGAAACCCGGAAGTGGTGCTTCTGGTTTTGCTTTTGCCACGTCCCTCAGATGTCGGTTAATAGAGTTTTCCGGTTAATAAAATGTTGGTTAATACAGCTTTTGCTGTATTTACTATCAAATAAGAGTCATTATCATAGTATAATTAATTTAATTCTTTGTAATAGAAACTGGTACGCTAAAAGACAATTCCCATTTTTCTACACTAATCAATTCAAGTGAAACTAGATATAGCAGATATTTGTAAAATCCTTCTAGCATATTCACTTCATACTTTCTTGAAGTTAACTCTGGCCATTTATCACTTTGGAACTAAGACAACACTTCACAGAGCTCTCCGTCTCCTTGGGCTTGTCCACTTTAGGTAGCAGCAAAAAAGTTTTACCCTATCAGTCTAAGGTAAGATGCTGCTTGACAACACAGGAGCAAGACTGGTTACCTGGTAGTTGCTCAATTACCTGGCAAAGTTAATAGCCAGCAGTGGGTCATGGACAACATCCAGTTCCAAGTGTCTTTCAGCTATAGACTGCATCTTTATCAAACTCTGCTTGGTCGCTTGCTGTTCTGTAATAATATCTGAAACAGATTCTTCCCCATGCCGCAGACGGGACTGCACAGACTCCAGAAATAATGTGTATAAACTTTTTCGTTCTGCATCTGAATTAGACATTAAAATCTTATGATAATTTTGTTCTAAGAAAACAACTATGGGTAAACTTTGCACCTTTGAGCAGTACAATATTAACCTGATCTTACCAGTTACATTTCTATATGCAGCAGCAAAGAGCACTTTGGGCACGATTCATTTAGATACTTGCATTCAATTTTAAACCTTGAACTTAATAGGACAATTTATATGGTTAAAGTTAGGCTCGTGATCAAATAATTTGCTGAATCGGAGTCTAAAATATTAACTATCATTGTTTCAGAAAAATATAGGCCCTCTGACCCTCTAGGTATACACCATATATACTTGAATACAAGATGACCTTGAATTTAACACAACCCCCAAATAATTAATAATAATTTACATGGAAAATTGATAAATGTGTTATAATTTTCCATGTACAGAACTTAATTATTGTAAGGTTGCCTTTAATTCATCCTTCCCACCGCTGCAGAGGTGCAGGCAGTGTGCATGTGTGGGGGGAGGTGTGGGGAGTTAACAGCTTGCCCCTTCTTGTGCCTGCCCAACCCTACAGCCCCAGGACCACTACTCCACTGCTCCCCCACCAGCCTCTGCTCCCCTTTCCCACGCCCTTGCTCCACACTGGTAGCCTCCATCCTTGTTCTAGCCTCCATAGCCCCAGCCCAGCCCCCGTAGCAACTATGTGGGCTGTGCACCACTGCCAAAGGAGTAGAATAGGGACATGCTTAGTGTCCCAAGCTGCAGCATGCACAAAGCCTGCCAGTGCAGAGAAGTGGGGGTGATGAGAGTGGGGAGCAGAAGGGAGAGCAGCAGACAGGAGAGCAGAAGTTGTATGTGGTGGAGGGAGCAGACAGCAGTTGTGGCTATGGTCCCAACCTGGGTAGTAGCTGAAGCACAAGTCAAAGCAGCTACCTGCCCACCCCACAGTTCAAAATAATACTCAACTTTTTAATGTATTATTATTATGATTTTTTTTTTTTTTTTTTACAGGTACACTTCTGAACTATTCCAGGCACCTTTAAATTATTTTTAATAGGCTTGAATGTCTGTCTGCTTAAGATTTAAACTGACCTAAGTGTTATGTGTGCCCCTAACCTGAGTAGGTGTGGGAGAGAAACCTCATCTTAGAATCCAGTCAATACAGTACATCATCTACAAGGTATAGTTAATAGTAAACAAAGACATTTTCACTGAGATGGTTTATCAGCTCAGGGCAAAAGGGCCAACACAAACCTTTAAAAAAAACCAAAACAACAAAAACCCCCCAAAAAAACAAAAACCCGAGAAGGAGTTCAAAACCATCCTATACTACCTCCACAGATAGAGAAATTTGTATAAATTTAACAAAACTGATTCCCTTGCTGTTCTTTCTATAAAATTATAAGAAAAAAACCACAAAGTCAGCATGCCTATAGCTACATTAAGTTCTTTGGATAGATTACCAACAGATATTCCTCAAATTATAACTGCTGCCTTTCTTCCATAAACTGATTCACCTACCACTTGTTCAAACAACATAGTTTTAGGATTCAGATTTTAAAATATATATATATATCTTACAGGGAAAACATTAAACAAAAACTACATTAAAATGAAGTAGCAAAACCAAAACCAAAAAACTCCCAAAAAACCTATTTTAAGTGGAAATGTAAATCCTAACTTTGTTCTGACTGACTACATCAAAAATCTTAGAATAGATGATGTTCAAACTATAAAGGAAGTTACAAACCACAAATGCAAACATGCTCAGGAAAGTTCTGTATTCCTAAAAAGGCACTAGTAGAGACACTCAGGATATGGATGTATGCTTAAATTGTGAAACAGACAGACAGTCAAGCCTATTAACTATTTAAAAATAGTTTAAATAAAAAGTTTAAAAAGCTGCCAGGAATCGTTCAGATGTGTACCTGGAAAAAGAAAATCAAGTATTATTTTGAACTGGTTAACTGCTTTGCATTGTGTCAATATTACATGTAGACACCAAGTGTGCTATTATGAGGGTCAGTCCTCCAAGCATCCCACCATGCAAACTGGCTGCTCTGACATGAGGCCAGAATTCTACTCCCCTCACCATCACTCCCAACTTTTTCCCTTTTTTTACCACTTTATCTGTAAGTTACTTTAGATTTTATTGAACAAGCAGTGTCATCATTACCTACTTCATCATGGTTCCTTATCATGCTCCCACCTGCCCCTGAGAACCCAAAAATATGAGTCCAAGTACTCCTGCCTCCTAGGCACCCCAAGTCAGGGAAACACGCTGCAAATTTTGGTCAACTTCAGGTTATTGAACTCACGCTTAGGTGAGCCAGGAACAGAAGAGGGAGGACACCCCAACCACATTCCAAAAATGTGGATGCAAATCCTCTTCCACCCACTAAGTGCATGGCATACTGGGCTGGGTGGTCACTTCTACACCCTGGCATCTCAGCCACAGCACTTCAGTGCTTCAAAGATGACCATTTGCCTTGGAATGCTAGGAATCCATACCCTGACTTACATTATAACTATGAATCAGTTCCCAATCATTGATAAATTTGGAATGATACCGTTATTACATGTCAACATACTCAATACACTAACTATGCATATGCTATTAGAGACTTTAAGGAATGGTATTTCACACAACTGTCATTTTTACCTCTCGATGCAGTTTGCTGTGGAGAACCATCTTTGCACTGCAGGTTCTTTAACAACTGCATGGATTTTCCAGCCATGATGATTTGTTTTAGAACTGGTTTCAGAAAGGAAACCATGGTGTGCTGCCTGCTTGAGGGAGCTTGATCACTGCCGGAACTGGCACTGGCATTATCACTCATTTTCTCTTCATTTTCTGTCTTTTCTGACACACTATATAGTGTGTAAGTAGCATACCAAAAATCTCTGTGGTTAACTGGGACATTTTTGTTTCTGAAAGGAGGGGAAAAAAAAGTATACATTCTCTTTTAAAAAAATAAATAAAGCTTCCTTACTAAGCAACATAACCATCTTTCCTTTATATTTAATTTTTGATTTGGAATAAAAAAGCACTTCTGATACCACACACAAAATTATTACTTCAGTTATCACCGGGGATCCTGGTTTTTCTGCTAAAAAAAAAAAAAAATGGGCATTTTGGGTTGCTTTTTTAAATCTGAAAATGGGGAATTTGTTTTTTTTTTAATCAGAGAAAACCAGGATCCCTGATCATCATACTAGTTTTGATCTCTTGTACATCTAACTGAAGTCCAGGAGAAGTATTGGTAACTAGACAGAGCACTTAAAATAGAGTTTATCCAAGAATTTATCCATGGATCTTCAATAGCTACAAAGATTTAGTAGCATAACTTTAGAATTATTGAAAAAATATAAAAAAAATTATATTATAAAGTCTTAACACAAGTAACTATAGCAAAATTGAATACAACAAAACTTGGTAATTTTTTGCAGTAGCTTAAAATTTAATACCTAACCAATGACCAATAATACTTTTGTAACTTCTGCCTTAGCACTTTCCAGTAAAAATTAGTTAAAATGATTTGCGTAAGAAGTTAAATGCATAGTCTATAGTTACAATATCTTATTTGTTACCTGTTATTATAAACTGTATGTTAACAAATCTCAAGCAAGGAGAGAGCCCTTTTTAACTGAAAATCTTTGAGTACGTCTATACTTCACCCCAAAGGTGAGGTACATTTGAGCTGCAATCTGAGCACTGATACCAGCATAGCAATGGCAGAGCATACATGCCAAGCCACCCTGGGTATTTACCTAAAATCTCACGTGGATTTTGCAGCACATGCTAAATCCCATGATACCAATGACTATCCTGTTATCAGGACCCAAGTTTAAAGCTTGCTCAGGAATGTCTAAGAAGCTGCAACTATACATTTACAGTGCAATCCTGAAGTATCAGAAGCACCAAGGGAAGACATATGAAATATCCTCAACCAGGATGTTGAAGAGTCTGGTAGCAATTCTGATGGTCAGCTATTAATTGTTTTCAACAGTAAACACAACAAAACAAAAAAGCATCATTCCTTACTTCATGCAACAGGCTGAATTTTAGAAACAACTGTCCTTACTTTTTGTACACCAGAAGAAAGTTTAAGTAAAGCTGCATAGTAGAAAAAAAAAATCTATTAACCAGCTATAAATGCAAAACTCTACTAATTCTAGATTAATTTATTGCAAATAACTGTACAATAAAAAAGGATTAAAATTTAGTATCACCACCCTTACCTCTGAATAATAAATTCTTTGGCAGGATCAAATAAGTTACCATGGACTATCCACTCATCCACTGTCTGTAAATATGGTCTTACTGTTTCAACCCAGAGAGAGAATAAGAGGGACACCTGAAATAAGAAGCAAGCAATAGTTGTGGTAGAACTTGTGAACAATGGACAAAGTAATATTAAAAATATATTTTTCCCCACATAAAAAGGACAAGATACCGCAAAGAAGCAAACCCAGGAAATTGTATAAGCATTTTTAAATGTTATGCCCGAGTATGATTTTTTTTAAATAGCATGTCTGAATAGAATGTTAAACTACAGCAACATCAGCTTATGTCCAGCAGACAGACACAGTGCAGTCTTATTACTTTGTGAATGCATTTTAGTCATAAATCAATACACATGAATTGTACTGTAAGTCTTTTTTGAGCAGAAACCACAGGAGTCAGAATGGAAATGGATGATAAGAAACAGTTCATGCCTTTGTGTGTAGCCTTAACAGGCTTTATAAACAGTCAGAGATGACAGGCTGGTGTATTCAGCCAACGCACCACAAAACCTTAATCAAAATACCTTTGGTACTACACAGGTAGTTTTTTTTGGAAATTAGGTTATACATACTGTTTGCTCAGATGCTTCTCCAACACTGTCATATTCAAGAATGGCTTTGTAAAGTGTATTAAGCAGATGAGATGCTCTTAGAACATTTGGAGTATCAGGTGGTACTTCTGCTACTCCTGTGCTGAAAACTTTGTGAAGGACCTTAAGCTGAGCCAGTCGTGGCAATAGTTTATCTATTACTATTGAAAGAGTGATTGTTTTATCTAGGAAAGAAGAAAATCGTATATGGAGAACATTTTAGGCCAATTTTAAATTACATAAAGTTTTTAAAGGCTATATATTTTAAATGCAACTACCTTCAACTTAAATGTGTACAGTAGCTTAATTCCCACATTTGTGTTACCCCTTATAAAATTTCCTTTATACTGTACCTTTATTGATTATGCTTTTTTCAATTTCAGTAAGTTCTTCTTTGAAGCTTATAAAGTACTTGTACAGGGACCACATAAAAGCTTGGTAGGTTCTAAATGGGGCACCTGTTGCTTTCTTGGGAGTGGAAAGGGCCCCATGTGTTAGGTTTTCTGAACTGTGTCCCATCACTTCATCAATAAACTTCTGCAGCCTAAACACAACTTGCCCATATGCAGCTATTTGCTCCAACACTGACCTTAAGCAGTTCTGCAAAACACAATTTTTCAAAATTATTTAACAGAGTAATTTTTAAACAACCTGAAAACAACTTCCACTTTTACCTTCTGTGATAATCTTGTAACATGGTAAGCATCCCTCAGTGTTATTAATAAATCTAAATCAAAATTACTTTCTTAAATTAACAACTGTTGTGGAAACTTGTTTTCTACTGGAAGTTTAAATTTCCTTTCCCCTAAATATTCAAGCCTTCTAAAGAACACACTGAATTACCATGGAATAAGATGAACCTTAGTTGATCAACACAACTTACGTGGGTCAAATGAGTTACGATAATGTCATTTCTCACAGTCACCTTTCCCTCATTCAGTTGAAATATAAAGAGCTTTTTCACTCCTGAAAGCAGCCTGAAAAAAAAAAAAAGAGAGACAATTTTAACATGTTAAAAACAGATTCATAGATGTTAGGGGCTGGAAGGGACCTTACAGATGATTGGGTCCAGCCCCCCTGCACTTGAGAAGTGTGGCAGGGCACTTTTGGGTGCCTCCCAATTTAAGGCTAGGAGCAGGCAGCTGGCTGGTGCAGCCCAGCCCTGATTAGATTCAGGCTCACAGGGCTGAGACAGCAGTTTGCTACAAGTAGCTGAGAAGACAACATCCAGCTGAGTTGCTGCTCAGGAACATCTTGGAGGTAAAGGCAGGAGCTACAAGGATGGCAAGAGGCTCCTGGTCCTGGACATGACCTGAAACTGTACCCTGCCAGGGAAGGGTGGCCTGGTGGGGCTGTCTGTGGTGGGACAGTCCCCCAGAAATGCCAGGCCAGTTACCTCCCTGGTGAAAGGCGAGGAGGGGCACCTTAAAACCCCAACCCCCACATTTTGGTGAGTTACACAGACATAGGGACAGGTATGGGGGCCAGGCACGGTGTAGACCCTAGAGATCCTAGGGAGGGGGAAGATGTTTGGCCCAGAGGGAGTGGGCAGGAGTGTGGCCTCAGAGAGGAGGCAGCAGTGAGGCCCCAGAGAGGATGCAATAGAACAGGTAGAGTCCGCACAGAGTAGGGGTGTCTTTATGACCTGAAGGGCTATGTGTAAGAAAGGCGCATAGTACAACTGAAGGCCAGTCTGAAGGGCTGCAACAGGGGGTGTGTTGAGTAGGGCTGAAGGACGGCCAGACGGACAGCACACGGGCCAACCCCCACAAGCATATCAATTGGAGAAAGCTGCCCAGTGAGCGGCTAGGGTCAGTCATCCCATTGTTTGGTGAATTGGCTGGTCATTATCCAGACGAGGGTCATGGGAGAAGTCCAAAAGGCTGCGCAATGGCCAGCCAAGGAGAGAGAGTAGGCAAGCCTGATGGCCTATGGGAGCCGCTCAAGGGAGCAGGGCAGAGTGAGTATGGCCCAATGAGGGGCAGCATACAAGAGGCCTGGTGAGAGAAGGCGGAGTGAAAGAGACCCCAGTACGGGGGGTGGTATGAATGTGACCCCAAACAGGGTTGTGTGTGAGAGGCCCAACAGTGGACTGAGTTTGGCCTAGCCTCAGGCCGGAGCTGTAATAGTAAACTGGATGCTACCTGCAAGGTATGGGCCATGGTGTAGGGACAGTATGGAGCCATGGATAGTGTCCCCTGGCACCAGGGCATAAAAGAGGCAGCCTCCCACTCAGAACACCAATTTATGAAAACAGCAACTCATGGCAGGAGAGACTGGACAGACTGCCCCATGTAGACAGGTGGGCAGACCGATGTGAGGTCTTGGCCCTGGGATGGCCCCCCCGTCACAAGCAGGAAAGATTGCTGGGGTCAGCAAGGTGGGCGTCAAGACGCTCTTTAAAGATTGCCAGGGTGAGTGACTGTTTCACCTCTGGGGGGAGTCAGTTCCAAACCCTCGGCACTCGCCTTGTAAAGTTTTTCCTTATGTCCAGTCTGAAGCAATCTTCAATCAGTTTGTGTGCACTGTTTCTTGTCCTCCCATGGTAGACCTTGGTGAACAGATCCCTGATGTACACTCTGATACACTTATAGGCTGCCACCAAGTCCCCTTTGAGTCTTCTTTTGTCTAGGCTGAACAGTCCCAGGTGTTTCAGCCTCTCCTCATCTGACCTGCTCTCTAGGCCTCTAAACATGCGAGTGGCTCTTCTTTGAACTCTTTCAGGGGTGATGCGTAGAGGGTGCACGGGGGTGCACATGCAACCCCTGCCAGGCCATGCTCCCATTTAGCTGGTGGGCATGGGGGCAGGCAGGGGCACCAGCCAGGGAGTGGGGCCACCAGCAAAAGCGGTCGCGCCACTTCCAGAAGTGGCCATGGGATCGGCCACCAGGGGATCCCCCCCAGTCACTGACTTGTGTCAGGGGGGCACGTGCCCCCCCTCACTCAAGAGACACCAGACACCCATGGACTCTGTTGAGCTTCTCCACATCCTTTATGAAGTGTGGCACCCAGAACTGGATGCAGTACTCCAGCTGCGTGCTCACCAAGGCCGAGTAAAGCGGGAAGATGACATCCTTAGCCTTGCTCAAGATGCCTCGCTAGATGCATAACAGTGTTCGACTAGCTCTGCCAGCTACAGCATCGCACTGGTGGTTCATGTTCATTGCCATTATATAATGCTAGACCTCTCTCCTTATATAATTTACTGTGCTCACTGGTGATTCTTAAAATTCTTTGAATAATAAACAGTCCAAGGATACAATACAATGACCTAATATTGCAGACGCAAGCCTATTAGTTGCAGAAATATTCCACTTCCTGAGGTTCCTTCCAGCTGCAATAACTTTCGAAGAGGGCAATTCAAATCTACTTTCCTAAACAGATAGTATTAAATATATTTGAGAAGAGAAACAGGAAGGTTCTCTTACTTCAGAAGATGGTAAATTTCAACTAGTTATGACAATGCCAAATTCCTGGATGTCAACCTCTACTGCCAGGTTCACAGACTGCTGTTTTCAAAGCAGTGTTCCCTCAAGGTGGGAAGCAGGTTCATTCTTTCAATATTTACATCCAAACCAAGGAACACCATCTATAATTAATTCATCTTTTCCTGGGCATAGGTTAATGAGAGCACTTCTGCAAAAAAAGAAATAGCATCTGCTAAGATTGGATGATAAAGACGTACAATTCGGTGAACTAGTGGCTAACGATCAGAGCTCATTGCTGAGATGCAACTACTCTACCCTGAGACTGCCAATATCCTGAAGACCTACACTCTGTTGCTTTACTGAGGGAATGTTATTTCTTATTCAAGGAATGAATGAATGTATTCAGGGAATGAATGCCATGACAGCTGAGATGCTGTTCAGGTAGGTAGCATTCAGTACTAGGATTTACACAAAACTTCTCTCTAACATATTGAAAATAAATTTATCCTCAAGATTTGAGGTGCTTAGTAGGTCTTTCTTTACATGTCCCAGACAAAGCCCTGCTGAGGAAACTATGCTATGCTTGCAGTTCAAAATATTTATGCTAAGGAGACACTTTGTACTAATAATACATATCAGGACTATGACTTACTTCCTTGGTAACATGAGGAGTTTCCTGTTTCTGGGGCAAATGCATATTTTGATCACTCGATGTTTTGTTTCAGCCTGCTCTCTGTATAAAAAACTGATCAGAAAACACTGTCCAGGAAGAGCAAATTTTCTTTCCTTTTTCCCAAAAGCCAGTATTATTGCTAACAGGATCCTGGACAAAGATTCTTAGAGCATTCAGATGATCAAAAGAAAGAAACAGAAAATGCTGCCATCTTTCTGTTAAATGATTGTCTGGGGATGGCAAAATGCCTTGAAAACAAGTAAGAAACATATTTAGATCCTTCACATAGGGGCCCTCTCTTCCGATCCCAGATTATATTGTTCCCAAAATTCTTGCAGTTTCACAGGCTATGGATCATGATCATGGACCCATTTAATCAATACAAATGGCATCCCTGCCTGACTACAGCCATTTTGCTCCTGAATTGAGAGAACTGGACGCCAACTGAAGGGTGTTACTGCAGGCAGGACTGGTTGAAAGAACCACAGATAACCCCCAGATTAGAACAGCAGCTAACAACCATGCACTTGTTCTAGATAACACTTACATACAAGTATTATCCTGTTGCAGTTTATTGGTGCCATATGACCTGTATTCTTTTCTATGACATCTAGCCAGAATCAGGACAGTAAATCACTTTTTGATGACTCTGGACAGATTCAATTTACATAATATTTCCCAACATATCCCTAGAAATATTTAGGAACCAGTTTGACTGGGTGCCTGATTCCAAGAACTATATGCTAGCAGTGAAGGAGTATTTCCTACCCTCTTTCCCCCTCCCCCCAAAAATTCTTAATCCATGCAATTTTTAAGCTGAAAGGAACCTGTAATACACTGTTCACTCAGGTCAGCAGTTTGTGATAGCATGTGGAACCACTTAGTGTCAGATGACAGTTCATACTCGATTATTTCCGTTGGCCTTAGGTTACTCAAGAATTTTAAATGCTTACAAGAGGGAACTGAGATGATGCCTATCTGAATTCGAGACAAAAGTTGAGATAGTGGTGAGTCACTGAAATCTGCAAGAGACCAGAAACAACCTGGGTATTAAGACATGGTGAATGAGAATCCAGCAGTTAGGGGATGGAGATTAATGATGACACATCAGAACAACAACCTGATGTATTTCCAGTATTTTAAGGCAAGACAAGAAATCCCTTTTTTCTGTTATTACATCTTGGGAAAATGGCAATCAGTAACAATATTCAAACTGTACTGAAAGAGAGGCTGCATTCTATCAACACAGCTTGCCAAGCTCCTCAAGACACTTAAATAGGGGATCAGGAGACCCAGACTACTGCTTTTACCTCTAGTTTTTTTGGCCTAGTTCTCTCACTGAGGTCTGTAAAGGAAACAGTCACTGCAAACACCTCAAAAGGATTAAGTGGAATTGAAAGACAATAACAAACAAATGCAGCCCCGTCATACAGCTGGGAAGTTATACAAATTAAGTCTAAAAACTGAAATAAAAGATTGGAAATCTTCCTAAATATGGGAACAGCAAGCCAACCTATCAGCCTCTATCGGATCATAAAAGACTTCAGCAGGTAGGTCATTCCTCTGCTAAAAGAAACCATCAGATCTGATTCTGCCACCACTATCTTATGCCTTGGAAATGCTTTCTACATGGATCTATGGACCTTAGTACAAAAGAAAAGTGGGACAACACCAAAATATTTCTGGCAAAAATACAACCTATGTTAGAATTGTTATTATTATTATTATTATTATTAAAGTGTTACAGGAATGTTTAATATTTGAATACTGAAAATGAGAAGAAAGACCTGGACAAACAAACCTTGACTTTTTATCTGAAGCTTAACTAATGCACTCACTCCTGATAGACTGATGAAGGAAAGTTCTAAAGATAAAGCCCCTTAACCATATTTGAAATGTGTTATAAAGAACCCAACTGGACTGTTACTGCTGTGGCAAGACAGAGTGAAAAGGGAGCCCATACAGCTAGGCATAAAAGGCTATATCTTGTATTGCATTTTGGAAGCCAACTGAAATCTGCAACCGTTAGGTGAACCTTAGTTGAAGGGTACATGATAACATACAACTGACAGAAAGGATGCAATATAACCCAGCAAGTGAAGATCTTTGACAATTTCTCAACTTCAATCTCAGCCTCCATTCTTTCTTCTAGAGTTTTCCTCCCACCTAAAAGCACCTTCTGAATTAAGCTCAAAATTCTTTTATAGTGAGAGAAACAAAAAGACATCTTACCTGATAAAATGTTTATACATTCAGAATTTTATATTTTTAATTTTGTTATTATAGTATTGCATAACCAATACATGAATGGCAGGGTAAACTGGGTTGTTTTCTGGCTTCTAAATCAATCTTTAAACACACAGATTTTGCAATTATTACTGATGATGATGATATATAAACTAAACAATTTAGTAAGGTCCCTTTTCTGAAACTGAAATACAACTATAAATCTCTTTCCTATAACATTGTTAGGTTAGAATGAGAGATTCTTCCATCAGTGGAATACTAGAGTTGAAAAACAGGCATCTTTGAAATTCTGCTTACCAGAGGGTTTCCCGTATAACATGTGTTTCAGTAACTAGAGTTCTTTCTTCTGGCATGTATAATGGATCACTGCTGTACAAGTGCTGCTCCCTACAAGAAGAAATAAAAGAGTATTATGAATTTAAAGAGCCAAAAATCATGATTTTAAACAAGAATCAAGCAGTAATCTTTTGATGAATTCTTCCATAACTTATTTCCCAGAATAATTACTAGAGGTGCACTGATAAAGATTTTTTTGGCCGATACCAACAGTCAATTATTCACCAGGCATATTGGCTGACACTGATCCAATAACTGATTTACAGGAATGCAGTCGGACATCGCGAACAGCAGCTTAGTGCAGGTAAGTCTGTGAAGGGGAAGAGGGGTAGGGGGGCGGGAAGCAAGACTGAGGACCCCATGGTGAGGGAGGGAGTGGGGCAGGGGGCGCTGCCCAGACAGGGTTGTGAATGGGACCCTAGGAGCAGGAAGCAGGACGGAGTTGTGGGTGGCCCATCCAGGGGATCAGCATCCTGGTGCTTAAAAATAGCGGCAGAAGTGCTTGAACTAAAGCTTGTCAAATGAACTAAAGCTCATCAAATCAGCGGCCTTCTGCCCTTGCCCCACACAAAAATCCGAGGGAGGTCATGCCCCCCATGCTTCCCCTGGGGATGCACACAGCAGTAGGAAGCTGCCCCCCACCCTGCATAAGACACCCGTGGCTCTGTCCCACTCCCCCCACTCCAGCCATGGGTCCCACTTGTTACCCTGGCTCCCTGCCCCACTCCCTCCCTCACTGTGGGGGCCTTGATCTTCCCCGCCTTGCCCCTTCTCCTCCCGACTTACCTGCAGGGAGCTGCTATTCACGCTGCCTGGCTGCATTCCTGGCCATGTGCACGCTGCAGCTGTTCACATGCACGTGGTGTCCAGGGTCCCAGCCAGAAGACACATTATATTTATCGGTACATTATTGGCTACACTGGCCAAAAAAGCCAAAAATGTTAATTTTCCTTTTATCAGTACTGATTCAATATGGCACCAATATATTTGTGTACCTCTAATAATTACTTTGCTCGATCTGCTGGCAACACTCCTACTAATGCAGCCCAGTATGCCATTAGCCTTCTTGGCAACAGAGGCACACTGCTGACTTGCATTCATCTTATTGTCCACTGTAACCCTCAGGTCCTTTTCTGAGGAAGTGAGTAAATACCACACTCAAATTCAGGATGTGGTTTTTCTTTCCATTTACCATGGACAGATGGGGTAGACTGCATAGGGCAGGGGAGCTACTGCAGCTCTAGCTCCAACACTAACCCAGCCAGAGGCTAGAGTCGTCACTGCTGTTGCTGCCTGGGTATGGCCGGAGCTGCTTCAGGGTAAGCTGCAGCAGAGGGCAGAAATGGCCAGGGGCTTTAATTCCTTTATTCATGTCACTGTCTTATCCTTATCCTCATTAAGGTCAGGATCTAATGTGCCATTCCAAGCCGTTTTTTGGGAAAAGGCAGCATATAAATCTAAGAAACAAACAAAACGGTAAGCTAACAATGTCAGATTAGCATAGTAAGAATTTATAATAAAATTAAAAAAAAATCCTAACAACTATGTAAATTTATAATACTGGTTTATTTTACCCATTTCCATTTCATTTCCATTTTTTAAAAATTCAATCAGTAAAGCATACTGAGGTTTTGGAAAAAGTAAACAAAAACCCCTTCTGTCCCTTCCACACACTTTATCAGCGCTACAGCTCAGTTATACCATTTTGGCGGTGAATATACAGCAAATATTATTTCCTCACCAGACAGCAGCCAAGTTGGAATGTAAATGCAAACTATGAGAAAAACGAGGAGCTCTTCCTGTCCAGTACTGTGGTGCCACATGCTGCTCCAACCAACTGCGTGCATCTGGCTCTCCCACTGGTAAACATATTTGATAGTTAGGTGGGGATTGTATTTACATAAGGAGCTTTTTAAAAAAAAACAAACAAAAAACACTAAAACAAACAAAAATAGATCACTAACGAACCTACAAATTTAAAACCATTATTAGCTTCAGAAGTATAGATTTATTCAAATAAGTGGCTATTTACACTTTTTTTTTTTTTTTTTTTTTTTTTACACAAGAAAACAGTTATTACAAGTGCGCATAAGTTTATACGCATAGATGCCAAGTCTTAAAAATAAATCAAGGATATATTTACACCTCTTTTCTTCAGGAAATACCCTTTATTTTAGGAAAATATTAAAATAATGCATACGAGAATTACGTTAAAGATGAATTACAAAAGAAAACTGGTAAATACCAGTGATGTCACCTAACGCAAAACAGAAAGCAGGATGGATTTGCAACATAGACTAAATAAATCTGAGATGCATAAGCTTGAAGTAAGTAATGACTTAAGAAGCAACCTCATCAGCAAGGATCTGGGTTTTCTGTTTCCCACAGAAAAATGGGGAAGGGAAGGAAATGCAGATTTTCCCCTTTACCTGAGAAAAACGTGGATTTTTCATTTTAATGGAGAAAATGTGCATTTTGCACTTTTGCAAAAAGCTCTCTGCAGGCTGGCAGACTTCTAACCTGCAAGGGGGTAGGGGGAATGGAAGGACAGTTCATGGACTGTAAGGCTGAAAGGGACCTTGGAAAATCATCAGGTCCAGCAAGGTGACCATCCAGTCTCCTTTTGAAGATTTCTAGGGTAGGTGACTACACCATCGCTGGAGGGAGCTTATTCCACAGTCTGGACACCCTGACTGTGAAAAAAATTTTCCTATTGTTGAGCCTGAACTAGTCTTCTAGGAGTTTGTGGCTATTACTCCTGGTTTTCCCCAAGGGTGCCCTGGTGAACAGCTGTTTGTCGAGCACTTCCTGAACTCCCCTGATGTAGTGGTAAGCTGCTACCAAGTCTCCTCTCAACCTTTCCTTTTTTAAACTGAAAAGTCCCAGGTCCCTCAGCCTTTCCTTGTAAGGCAGGGTGGTCAGGCAGGGGGTGCCATGTGCATGTATATGCACATGGCCACCAGGCAGCCTGGAGCCAGCTTCCACAGGTAAGTCTGTCAGAGGGAAGGGAAGAATTGAGGCCCCCACAGGGAGGGAGTCAGGCAGGGCTGTAGCTGTTGACCAGCCGGGCTGTGTGCAGGGCTTGGGGCACGGGGCCAGAATGCAAAGCCACAGAGCCCCAGCAGGGAGCAGGATGGGGCTGCGGGGGACTCATCGGGGGTCTGGCTCCCATCCGTTGCATGCACTCCCAGAGGGGGCATGGGAGGCACGTGGCCCCCAGGTCTGTGCAAGGGGCAGGGGTGAATGCAGGCTGCTCACTGCAGGCTCAGGCTCCACACCCTGCTGCCCTACCCCTGTGGCCTCTGCAGCCCAGCGGGTAGGACCTGGTGCGGCAGGACAGAGTGGGGCTGGATGGGAAAGCACTTTGCTGCTGCAAGCCACCCTGGCAAAGTACCCCTGACCACCTGGTAGCAGTGGGGGTGACAGCATGGAGTTGTGCCCCTCGCTGCTGCCAGGCAGGCAGGGGGCGCCTCATGGTTTGCAGCAGCAAAGAGCTTCCCTGCCTGGCCCCACTCTGCCCTATAGCACCAGGTTCCGCCTGCTGGGCCACAGAGGCTCCAGGGGGATGGCAGCAGGGCAGGGAGCCTAAGCGTGCAGCCCACACTTGCCCCACCCCACAATGGGCTCCACTCCGGCAGTGCCGCCCATAGGGGAATGGGAGCTGGGCTCCATGCTCCACTCAGCCACAGTAGCCACTGCCCATGGGCAGCAGCCAGGACTCAGGTGGTGCTGCTGCAGGCAAGGGGCTGCAGACCTGGGTCCCTGGCCCTGTCCCTCCAGCAGCTGGGGCACCCCTCTGGCAGGGCTGGGGAGGGAGGCAGGAGCACCAGCAAGGCCAGGAGGCTGTGGGTGGGAGGCAAGGAGCCTAGACCTGCGTTCTAGTGAGCTAGGAGTTCTGATTTTCCATGATATATAACTCAAAAATCAAATACCAACATTTATAGGTATTTAGAATTTATTTTATTATAGTGATTGAGGTACTGGTAGGCTTCCAAATTGCTTTAAAATAGTAAATGTATCAATAAAACATTGTGCTCAACTGATACCTATATCTATAGGTAGATATATAGGGGCATTTCATTTTAATTGCAGATGGGGGGGGGGGGTATCAGAGAATGCGTGTGTGTGAGGAGGGTTAATCAGAGAATTTGTGATTTTTTTTTTAAATCAGAGATAACCAGGGTCCATGCTCATCAGATGCTATGATGGATCTGATAAAACTGCTACTTATGAAAGCTTATGCACCTATGACTTAGTTGGCAACCCTGCATGTTAATCTGAAGTAAGGCAGAAAGCAGGATAATACATATGTTTATAGGATACCTTACAGACCGTCTTTAAATTTAGGGAGAGACTGTAAAAACAAAACAAAACAAAAAACAAAGCTAAAAATGCCTGTGTGCAAAACCTGTAAAAATGAATCTATCTATAAAAAAAACACTACACCACTGTAGCCTGATTGAAGCTGTGTTGTTGGAAAGATACTGGAGGCAGAATTCAAGGACAGATAAGAACAGAACAGAGCAGCACCACTTGGTGTCTGAGCAGCAGCACAGCTTCCTGAAGGAAGCTCATCAGGGCTTCTCAGATGATGGGAGTCTCCGTAGGGGTCTGTGCCAAGATAGGGGATTGGAGCCACTTGGTGGCATGGTGCAGGAGGTCATTGGGAGCAGAGCATGGAGTTGAAGAGGGGACCCTTCAGGTGGAACAGCATAGTGTAAAACCATTATTGCAGTCAAGCAGGATTCGCACATAATTTTTTTTTGAAAGTGATAATCTGCAAACTTTTTACTGACAGCCAAACGTTTTTATTTTGATTGGTGTTAAATAGGTAAATCTTAATATAGCCTTGGCTCAGGTCCTGGCAAAAGGGTGAGAGCGACGTTATGTAAAAGACATGCTAGTAAAAATATATATCAATTAAAAAAGTTTGTCAGTAAAAAATTTGCAGATTGTTAATAAAATATGCATATATAACACACACATCTTGGGTTGGTAACCCTGCTAACAACATCTCCTTTCTCCTAATGTGACCAGAGCAGCCAATTAGGTAATGAGGAAAATAAACACAAAAATTATTACCCAACAGTCCAGAAATACATAATATTGCCATAAAACCTACTATAAAAATCTGCACGTGTACAGGGATTTGCTTTCTTCGATTTCCTGGTGACCATATCAGGAGCGCACAGAAACTGAGGGCAGACAAGGTTCCTTGGGTGAACTTGATATCTTTTATTAGACCAACCCAAATAGTTGGAGAAAAGTTGTTAAGCAAGCTTTTGGGTTCAAAAACCCTTCGTCAGGCTAAGGAAGTTTCAGCAGTTGGTGTGTGCTCTTCCTGGATGGAATGAAAAGTAAAGAAGCCAGGGGTTGGGCTGGGGAGTCAGTTGCCAGGCAGATTATAATGTATCAAAAATCCAATGTCTATGTTTAGTCCCTGATCTCTAGTATCCAGGAGGTTGATGAAATGGAGCTCATAGGCTCATCTCTGGGAAGTGTTGTGTAAGTTTCCCTTGAGGATCAGGACTGAGAGAGAGAGTGGCCCTCCTGTGAGAAATGTGCCCCCAAGGGTAACTGGGTATTTCTGTCTTCGATAGATTTCCGGTGTGTGTTCATTCTGGTGCGCAGTTGTTGTTTGGTCTCTCCTACATATTTTCCATCATGGCATTTGGTGCACTGGATGAGGTATATTACATTTCTGGAGGTGCAGCTGTAAGATCCAGGAATGCTGATGGCTCTGTTGTGGGGTGTAGTAATTGTGGGGGTGGTGGAGATGTGTTTCAAAGACAGAAATACCCAATTACCAGTGGGGGCACATTTCTCACAGGAGGGCCACTCTCTCTCCAATCTCTCAGTCCTGATCCTCAAGGGGAACTTACACAACACTTCCCAGAGATGAGCCTATGAGCTCCATTTCATCAACCTCCTGGATACTAGAGATCAGGGACTAAACATAGACATTGGATTTTTGATACATTATAATCTGCCTGGCAACTGACTCCCCAGCCCAGCCCCTGGCTTCTTTACTTTTCATTCCATCCAGGAAGAGCACACACCAACTGCTGACACTTCCTTAGCCTGACGCAGGGTTTTTGAACCCGAAAGCTTGCTTAATAACTTTTCTCCAACTATTTGGGTTGGTCTAATAAAAGATATCAAATTCACCCAAGGAACCTTGTCTGCCTATGTCCGTAGACCAACACAGCTACAACCTAAACCCCCAGAAACTGAGTGTTCATTTATATGGGTTGCAGATTAGCAAGAATCTACTGTATGCCTTTCTGTATTTGTTTATTTGATGCATTTAGTCTTTAGATCACCTTGAGCATGTGTACCCCCACTGAAATAAGAGGAAGTTGAAGAATTTTGCCTCCCACCCCCCATTTACTTCAATGAAAACTGAATCAAGCCTTTGGTACACAGAAAATGCAAGCATTGCTGTTTTCACTCTGCTGAACAGAACAGAACAGAACAGAACAGAACAGAACAGAACAGAACAGAACAGAACAGAACAGAACAGAACAGAACAGTGTTGCCTTAACTATAATTCTAATACTGTAGGTGGTTTACAAGACCATAAATAAGGCAGTTTACTACATAAAGTAAGTGTAATAAGCAATCCATTTGTTATGAGATTCTGCAGTCCCCCATCCTCCACCCCCCAAAAAGAAGGAACACTTTAAAAGACAAACCTTTCCAAGTGACATTGGGTACCATTTTCTTGTTTTGATCTTGTTCTTCTTGTGGTGTTCTGTCTACTTGAATGCCAGAATCTTCCCTGCTCAGAGGCTGAGTGTCTTCCTCCTCTTCACTGTCTTCTGACCAATCCTATCAAGTACAACACCAACTACATTTTTAGTGCAATACAGTGATCTCTGCTCAGTTCTTCTTGGTTGCTTTGTTAAAAAGGAGAGGATAAAGTAGGAGGAACCCTGAAAATCCTTAGTTTATGCTCACCTTTTTTTTTTTTTTTTTTTAAACAAAATGCAGGTGTATATTGGTTCCATGTGGTTTAAGTTATTTGATATACAATATCAAAATTAATTTCTTACAGCCCAGGGCCTTGTCTTTCTATATATCTAAAATAAATAGAATACATGGTTTTTAAAGTACAATTCAGCATATGCTGTAGGATTCTATAAAACATTTCACAACCATGGAATCAAACAGCACCTTAGGTCTATGTCTTGAGTATACCACTATGATTTTTTTTTACAGGTTTATTAACATAAAATCATAGAAAGTTGGGGTTGGAAAGTGAGTTAGGAGGTCATCTAATCCAACCACTTGACCAAAACAGGACCATCCCCAACTAGATCAGCCTAGCCAAAGCTTTGCCTACCTGGGTCTTAAACCTCTAAGGATGGAGATTCCAAAACCTCTCTGGGTAGTCTGTTGCAGTGCTTTACTACCCTCCCAGTGAGAAGTTTTTCCTAATATCTAACTTAAACTTCCCTTGCGGCAACTTGAGACCATTGCTCTTTGTTCTGTTCTCTGTCACCACTGAGAACAGTCCATCCTTTTTGCAACCACCCTTCAGGGGTTCAGGCAGTTGAAGGCCACCATTAAATTTCCCATCTTCTCTTCCCAAGACTGAAAAAGCCCAGTTCCCATAGCCTCTCCTCAGAAGTCATGTGCCCCAAACCATTTTTCTTGTCCTTTGCTAAACTCTGCAATTTGTCCACATCTTTTCTGTAGCGGGAGGCCCAAAACTGGACACTGTTCTCCAGATGCGACCTCACCAGTGCCAAATACAGGGGGATAATTACTTCCCTCGATCTTGATCTGCTTGCAATCTTCCTACTAATGCACCCCAGTATGTCATTAGCCTTTTGTGCAACAATGGCACATGGTTGGCTCATATTCAGCTTACTGTTCACTGTAACACCCAGGTTTTTTTCTACAGAGCTGCTACTCAGTCAGTGGGTCCCTAGTCTGTACTAGTGCATGGGTCTGTTCTGTCCTAAGTGCAGGACTTTGCACTTGTCCCTATTTAATTTCATGATATATGTAATATATACCCTGATATATGCAATATACCTTCATGATATACGTGATATACCTTGACTTTAGCAAGGCTTTTGATATGGTCTCCCACAACGTTCTTGCAGGCAAAGCTAAGGAAGTATGGGTTGGATGAATGGACTACAAAATAGACAGAAAGCTACTGTCAATGGCTCAATGTTTAGGTAGCAGTCAGTATCAAGTAGAGTGCCCCAGGAGTCAGTCCTGGGACCACTTTTGTTCAATATTTTTGTCAATGACCTGGAAGATATGAGTGCACCTTCAGCAAGTTTGCAAAGGACACTAAGCTGGTATAGGCAGTAGATACACTGCAGGGTAGGGTTAGGATTCAGAGAGACCTTGACAAATCGGAGAATTAGACCAAAATATATCTCACAAGGTTCAATAACGACAAGTGCCAAGTCTTGCACTTAGTATGGAACAAACCCATGCACAATGTTCCCTTGTTGCCAAGAAGGCTAACAGCATGCTGGGATGCATTAGTAGGAGCACTGCCGGCAGATCAAAGGAGGCGATTCTTCCCCTCTATTCAGCACTGGTGAAGCTACACCTGGAGTACTTTGCCCAGTTTTGCCCCCCCTCCCCCCACCCCCACTACAGGAAGGATATGGATAAATTGGAGCAAGTCCAGCAGAGGGCAATGAAAATGGTCAGAGGGCTGGGGCACATGATTACTTCTGAGCCATTGATTACTACTCTTTAAGTCCAATGAATCTGCCAATTTTCTATCCACCAGTCCATTCACCCAACCTTTATTTCCTTAGCTTGCTTGTGAGAATGTTTTGGGAGACCACACATACCAAGCACCTTGCTAAAGTCACATCCACTGTTCTCCCCACATCCACAGAGCCAATAATTTCATTAAACTTGATCTAAAATGCCATTTCCTGGATATCCTGGGCCTCCACTGCTTGAAAAGAAACCTGTCTTTCCAGAGTGTCAGACTCCTACAATGCAAACAAGCATAAACTATTTGCTTTACTGAATCTATATCATCCATCTTGCATTGATATGGGGAACCTATTTACAATTCATGAATTATGACATTATGTTTTTTTTATTATGAAGAGGTATTATAAATAAGGTATTTTTAAATACCTTTATATGATTGTGCATCTAACACAGCTGACTAGATCTCTCATGTCCATTCCATCCCAAGGACTGTCAATTGTAAAGTCTTAATAATAGTGATCTATTGAGGTGAAAACAGGTTGGGCAATGGGCTGGCTGAAGCCCAGAAGACCTTTTTTAATCCTGCCTATTTGCAGAGAAGTTAGAGAACTCATAGAGACGTATAGGAAAATTTAAGCAGGAGGCTTTAAGCATGGTTGTGTAACAGGGGTAGCCAATTTAAATGCAGTGACCAGCCAAGGTCAGATAACGGTCGACCTGATCCCAGCCTAAGGTGTGTTCTGAGGGGAATGAGGAAGGGAAATGTATGCAGGATGTATTATTTTCATCTAGAACTGTGTATTTCTCATGCTATTAAGTAAATGGCAATGGTGTAATGGAAGCCTTTGACGTGCACATTTGTATACTTACCTGTAAGGCTAGCCATCATCCAGAATGCCGACAAAGCCAGAGTTCTAGATGAGGTTGTATTTAAGCCACTGGGATTTCTTGGAGGTTGGTGCTGATCCTGAGGCATCTATGGCATTTAGGTTAAGATACTCTGTTTGCACAAAGGGCTTGCAGACAAAGAACCCAAGTCAATAAATCTGCCATAGTAAAAGCAGTGCTGCAGCCTAGTGGGACTCAGATAATAGGACCTTCCTCAACACATCTCAACCGTAAATACAGTTATTATATGACAACTTACTGGTGAGTTCATGTCAGGACCAAAATAAATTTCTTCCCCTTCCATCAAGTACTTTCCCCAGTTAAATTCTTCTTCTTTTTCTAAAAGGAACAGACACAGAACTATTGAGTCTCCCTGAATTCTAATTTCTTATAAAAAAAAATTTAAAGCTAAAAATATCTAGTTAAAAAGTAAGAGGAAATCTGTTTCCTATTTATAGTACTCTGTTTAGCAATGTTATACATGTTTCCCTTGTTGTATGTTGTACATGCGTTCCTGGAAAACGGTGCATAATTTAAATTTGCATAAAGAGAACCCACTTTACAATATAAGAAATAGGGATATGTTCCAAGACCTTGACTGTACCAACCCCCAGACCCATTTCCACAACTTTTACAAAACAATGTTGGTACTCACCAACAGCAAACAGTACAGGTACTCCTCACTTAACGACCTACCTGTTTAACAACCGCGCGGACTTACGACCAGCGAGAACTGGTCGTAAGTACGAGAACTGGTCGTAAGTACGAGCACTTTGGTCTTTGAAACGGCAGCGCGGCGTCTCAAGCCAAGGCACACAGTATCAAGGGGCAGCTCCTCGCTTATCAACCAATTCGCTTAATGACCTAGTCGCAGGAACGGAACTCGGTCGTTAAGTGAGGAGTGCCTGTACACACAAGCACAGGGTGGTGATGAATGTTACCATAATGGGGATGGCAACTACAGAAACACGTCATAGACAAGCGAGGAGCACAGATCCATAAAAGAGACTATATTTTGGTGCACATCACTCCCACAAAGCACCACACAAAGCAGCTGACTGTGGGTTTCCACTACACCAATTGCATAAGAGTTAAGTTAGCTCGCATATAACAAATTTTTCGTATAAAAAGGGTTATCACATAAGAGTGAATATGCACATATAGGATTCGCATAAAGCAAGGGAAATCTGTACAAGTTTCACTGGAGTATAAAATGATTTAGTAACACAGTATTAAAGATTTTGCTCTGGAGAGGCTGAGAATTTGGGGTTGGTTTATATCACTGTCAGTCATCCCACTGCCAGAGATGGGTCCAGATACAGCCTCTGAGAAACCCCATGGTCCAGATCCAATTGAGGGTGATGGCGGGGAGCAAGTTTCACACCCCTGATGCAACTTATTAACTTGGCATTTCTCTAACTATAATATTCCTTGTGAGGCGCTCTTTCAATTGTTTTAAAATATATTTGCATGGTATAGTCTAATGCATCATCATCTTATCTGCCTAATTTCATGTCTTTTGTATCCTAGGCCATAAACCTGAAAAGATTTGCAAGAGTAAATAGTTTTACTCAATGCAACTAGTAACATTCACACTTCAATTAAAATGTTACAAATATGCAGCCTTACATGTCTTTTCAGGATCAGGTTTTTTACTTAAGGGCACAAACTGTCGTTTTTATTCTCAGCATTAAAAAAAAAGAACATGCAACAAGCTTATCTGATACTATGCTTATTTTTTATAAAATATTTTAATCAAATATTTGGAATTAGAGGCAAGTTACTGAAGTTCTTTGAGTTGATCTCTTTACATTCACAGTCCTGGGATGGGTTGGTTGATCACACAAACTACACTGCTCTGCAAGGGCTCCAATACTGACAATAGGCAAAGTCCACTCACAGAAAAAAATTTAAAGCTACAAAAGTCTCCTTCAGTTTAGTCTACACTATTCATTCCACCTACACTATATTACTCAGCAATGTAAATACGTGCTACAAAGATTTATGTTAGTTTCAGGAAATACACTTCATAAGTTCCATTTCTCCCCCTTCCTCCCCTTATATTTGATCCATTTAAGCATTGCTAACTTTCTACCATTTCTTTTTGTCAGAGGCATGGGTTTAAAGATTGTATAATACTACCAGATGTTGTATATTCAGTAGAAATGCAAGAGGAAACTGAGGAAAAACAATTCCTGCTAAGTTTAGTTGGGCAGCAAGTACTGTTAAGTTCAAATTACTTAGAACAGACAACCTCCCTCCCTTCTACTTCCTGGAGCCTCAATGCACATTGGGTGAAAATGAAAATATTGCATAACAAACAAATTGCATTGTGTCAAGTCTTTGCATGAATACTCCATGTGGATTTACATACAAAGTTATTAGTTTTAGGTAAATTTCTACTTCTGACTCAGTTTAATCATACTGTAAGATGTCAAATTAATGGTGTTAAAAAGCAAAGTCCTCCATTTACACACACAACAAATACAGCAGCAATTCAAACTTCCTTCAACTCTACTGGAATGCATCAATCCTAAACTGGAGGTTCCACCAGTGACAATATTTCTGGCTCTCTGTTGATTCAGCCACGGGATTCTCTGATGAGGCTGCAAACAGGATCAACTATTATGGTAGTCAGTGATGTCAACATTTGTCCAGCGGAAAATGGATGTGCTCAATACATCAAACAGCCATTAGATGACAACAACTTCTGGTACTACCAAACAGACTGTATTTGGAAAGTCTTAATTCCAACTTTCTCCATCCACTATGGCCAGAGTATCTTAAACACATAAGACAGAAGGACAAGGCAGGGTGGCATGTTACAGATCAACTTAGAATTGAGTAAACATGGTATTTAACAAGTAATAAGACAAGACTTTCCCCCCCACCCCATTCAACATGGGAGCAGGCAAGGAGGTTGGGGAGGAAAGTAAGCCTTGCCTTGGAATTGAATACAACTTGCCTGAAAATAGGAAGATGCACAGGGGATGGCAAGTTAAGTGAGGAGGCAGCCCAGTGAAGCATGCAGCACATGGCCACGTAGCAGATGGGGACTGGGTTCATACAGGCTAGGCATTCTCCCCTCAGCACGTAGGGTTACTCTAAGCTGCTACCTGGCTGGCAGGTGTTGGAGAGACTCAGCACATGCTGGAAAGAAACTCTTCAGGCTGCGGAGACAGTTCCTGGGCGGCACCAGCTGGATCATTCCCAGCTGTATGTGAGGAGCCTGGCCAGCACATACAGAGTCACTCTGAGCTGCTGCCTGGCTGGCAAGTGCCAGAGCAACTTAGCACATGCTGGCAGGCTGGTTGGATCCTTTGCTGCATGCTAGATTACTCCAGCACCTGCTGGTCAGGTAGCAGCTCAGAGCGACTCAGAATACACTGGCCACAAACCCTATATGCTGTGGGGACAATGCCTGGCCGATGCCTGTTAGGTCATTCTCAGCTGCATGCAAAGAGCCTGGCCAGCATATGCTGAGTTGCTTCAGCACCAGCACCAGCAAGGCAGCAGCTCGGAGCAACCCAGCATGGGCAAGCCAGAAAGCTGTGGGGAGGAACTGTGAACTGACCACGCACCCAGGCACACAGTGGGAAAGGACCCTGCAGGGACCAGCCAGGTACCATGCATGCTTCAGGGAGGGACAAAGCTACGAAGACAAGGGACCCAGCATTCAGCAATGGACCCAACATGAAGCAAGACTCTGGGCAGCAGTGGGGAGGGATCCAGAATGCCATAGTACTCTCCAGGTTCTAAACAGAACCCAATATAGGTTAGACTTAAGCTTGAACTGAACTGAAGTTAATGTTGAATTTATAACTTACTGTTATTGCTGCGGTTTGTCAGTACACCCATAAAAATAATACCAAACAAAATTTTTGCTTAAGTGGTCATCCTAGAGTTAATAAATATGATAGATAGATTGTATACAAGATGAAACTTACAGAAGATAATTAGCAGAGGTCCTGGAAACAAATTTAAACCAAGATGGTCCAAGGCTGCAAGGACAGCTGCCTTTGCAAATTGTTACTTGGCTTTGTATTTTTCATTTGTAAAGTAAAAATCTTGTCACCTTACCCACTTCTTTCTCCCTTGGTTTTTCCACATAGTTGGTATTGGAAGGAGAATCAGATAGGCATAGCAGAAGAGACAGGATGGCATAATGAGCATCTGTCTTTAAAGAACAAAAGCAGCAAATGAGTAAATGAACTAAATGTTTTTTAAAGAATTTAGGAAACAGACAAGAATTGCTATCAAATTATTTTATTTAGGAATGCACACAATTAGCTCAAATAATGGACACCTTAATTCATTTTATTTTTCCAATACAAACTAAATATAAGTAAACTAAAACTCTTAAATTACACATAACTTGTAATGTTTAAATACCACATCACTTTGCATTCTTTCAGATTAAAAGAATAAATCCTTAAACCCTCATATAAGTTTTACCCTAGAACTACCATGTTATATTTCTGTGAAACTACACAAAACTACTATCATGCCATTTGTCCTTTCTGGCCGGTACTATCTGATGAGGATTCTTTCATATAGATCCTGAATATTTTGATCTTCTTCATTTAAAATTAACTGATAAAAGCTGTTTGGGACTAGAAGGAAATTATCCACTTCTATTAAAAACAAATCTTGTACCCAAATTATTATAAAAGCAGTACTGCACTCGACTATGTATTACAATATTACAGCACTTTGCAACAGTAATTGAACATAGAAAATTTTGCCACAGCTCCTATTATATGATATACACTTGTAATACCCAAGCTCCACTGAGCCAGGCAGAGAGACTCCCAAGTTCACTTATCTGCTAACAAGTCACAAACCCTTTCTAGTCATGACACTGCAAATTCTAAGTGCAACTTTTTTTTCTGGTACAATGCTAGTACTGGTGCTTTTGCTTACTACTCCATTCAGTTGAATTTCTACGTAATAAGAACTCTGGTAAGTAGTCACTAGTACATAGAATCCCTGCAATACTCCTATGTACGTAGACTGCTTTATCAAAGTGGAAACCAAAACACAGTTTAAAACATTTATAGGCTGAAACTTCCCAGAGGAGGTTTAGTGACTCCAGCTGCATTCATTTTGCCAGTGCCAGTTTTACAATAAAGAGGAACTTAAACCAGTCCAAAGAAAAGTTCAATTCAATGAAAAACTAAATTCTGAGCAAGTTAGGAACAGATCACACACAGACCTACTATACAGTTGAGCAACATGCAGTATGCCTTAGCTAGCTCAGGGTGCCTATATTTAAAAAAAGTAACAGAAACCTACAGTATTAGATCACAAGCTAGCTTCAAAACAACCACACAGAAGGTGGTTGGGGCCAGGGTGAAGGTGTTCAAAGTGAGAAAGCATTCAGTTTCAATCCATTAGATGCCCTAAGCTGATCTGGAACTTCATACACCTACACCACATGTAAAATTCACAGGGATGAACGAACATATTCTGAGTAGGAAGGCAACCACAATACTAAAATATGCTCCAGCTAGATATCCATTTGAGCCAAAATTTAAAAACATTAAACAACAGTTCACACTGGGCTTTTCCCATTTGAAATCTGGCATCCTACTCCCTTACTTGAGTAGATTCTTTTTTGTCTTAGCATCTCAAAAAGGTTCATATGCAGAATGGAATATTGGGCTCTGAGACTCTTATGTGTAATATTAAAGATTAAAAGTACAACCAGACACCCTGGTGATATGTGCCCAAGCAATGCATGTTTTAAAACTAGTATGAAAACTACAGATGATACCTTGGAACATCACCTCAAAGAGCAGCAATCTTACAATAATGTGATTAATTTGTGCGTTTCAGTATAAAATTGCTACAAAATATCCAGCATCAGGATAAAGGCAACAAAATTAGAAGATAAAAAAGTTACATGCTACATACTTTTGTCTTTTCAGTGTTTGGAAGAGGCAAGTTCAGAAACTTTTCTGTTAGTCTTTTCCAACTCACAGCTTTACCAAGTTCTGAATGAATAATCAGCTTTTCATAAATCCTATTTAAAAACAAAACCAAAAGCACAACCGTATTAAACAAATACTTCAAAATTACAAAATGAATCTACATTGTAAAATAAGACACTCACCCTTCAACTGTCCTCTCTACTTTGTGACTGCTTACATCAAGAAACCGATGAAATCTGGATGCAAAATGAAAACAGAATCAATATGAAAAAGTGTCTGAAAAGAAAATTAAGTTAGCAAGAGACAGCTCATTTGGCAACACAAATATTTATATTTCTAAGCACAAATTTGTTGATATGTTTTTCTTAAAACCCCCCAAAAAAACAAGAGGAAAAACTTATTTACCCAACAATTACTTTCTACTTTATCATCCAAAAAATATATCATCTACACTGGCTGCACAGGGGAGTGAAGTGAGGTGTAAGTTACTTTTAGACATCACCACCACTTGACTCAGTTTTAAACAAAAGGAACAAAATCCGTCTGTAACTAAGGTTGTTTTTTTGCTCCGTAATGCAATAACTATCAATGCCTATTTGTAAATTAGCCTTAGCTGGGCAGTAACAATACTCTGTTGTAAATACATACACAGCAACTGCTACAGAATGAGACCTTTTCACAGGTCTTGTCTCAAAATTTTTCCCCAAGTTACATACTGAATGCTAACAATTTCCAAATAAACCCATAAAACTGTTTCTGGGACCACTACCAGAAAATGTCTTTCTTCCTTTCTAATATGAAGGGATATGTGAAGTGCTAGTTCAACACTGACTGCTAATAATTTCAGATACAAGACAAAAGGGGGGGAAAAAGTGTATTTTAGTACTTATCCTACAGAGGACACTAGAGAAGTATTACCTCCTTCCAGCCCTTAACTCTGTATGATTATTATGTCTACCTTAAAAATGGGCAGAAGGCAGGGCATGGGGACACCATAGGGAACAAGTGGCTCAGCCAAATGTGAGTTTTTATAGGCAACAACCTACTATCCTGAAGCTGTAAATGGGCTGGCACAAAGGGAGGGGAAACGGACAGGGGCTGGGACACTACACAGCACAGGTGTCAACTCTGGTTGTTGCTGCTTGCAGACATAAAAAAAAAAAAACCAACCCAAGAAAACAGGTGGTAAGCAGTGCCAAGCCTCGCACATGCTGAGAAGAGGCAGCATGTTACTTCAAACTGGCTCTGTAGCATCTATAAAGATCAGGTGCTTAAGTGGTGGGGGGTTTAGCACTTTTATGTAATAGCTGATTGAATCAGTTTTAGCTAAAAGCATTGAAAAGCCCTGCTGAAGTGCCTGATCTCTATTGAGAGAGACAGAGAAACTTCAATGTTTGTAAGTATGGTTCCATGGGTGCCCAGCACCCGCTAATTTTCAGTGAGTGCTTAAACCCCATAGCATGAGAGCATATGCTGTGCAAAAAAGTCAGTCAGACAATTAACTCAGGCCTGGGGTACCAAGGGTAGGGGGGCAGAAAGATACAGGTGCAATTGCCCCCACTGCTGCTGTGCATAGCAGCTACCCCAGGCACCTGACCACAGCACGTGCGCTGAGCTGACGGGCAGCCTGTGCGTGTGGTACACAGCCCCGGGAGGGGGACAAGCAGCTAACAGGGTACAGAGCAGAGAGCGAAGCCACCCCGAAACCGGAGCAGCGTTTAGGGGGGCGCAGGGCTGATCTACCCGAGATGACCAGCAAGCCCCGCCCCGCCCCACACGTCACAGGATGAGGGCGGGGCCAGGGACTCTATGCCGAGCCTCGAGGTCTCAAGACCCCTGGCTCGGCCAATCAGTCGAGAGCGGGCGCTGCCCGGTCACAGGGACGCCGGGGAGGGGTGACGTGAGCCCCCGCCCCTCCGGCATGCGTTAGCGTGTTACGTCAGCACAAGAATGCGCGCGACTCGGGGAAAAGGAGGGGGCGGAGCTCCGTTCGTCCGCCCCTCCCCCCCGCGCGCGCGCTGACCTGAAATTGGAGCTGGTGAAGCTGAGCGCCGCCTGGAAACGGCCACCGGGCTCCTCCTCTCCGAGGCCGGTCACCTGCTGGACCAGCGCCCGAACGTCCCGGGCCTGCTCCTGCTCGAAATGGCTCCAGTGGGCAGGGGGAGGCGGCGCCGCCATGACAGGGCTAGGAGATAGAAAGCAACGTTACTGAACGTTTGTAACGGTTGGCGTCCGCACATCTCACGAGACTTCCCGGCCCGCCTCTCGCGAGATCTCCGCGCGGAGCGTGAGGAGGGGAAAGTGCGCATGCCTGGTGGCTGCCGCGTCGTGGAACGAGCCTACAGACCACGTGATTCGGCGGAGACAGGAGGCGCCAAGGAGGTTTCCCGCGCTTGGCTTGGGGACCACGTGGCCGTTCCGCGGCTGCGGTGGCCGTCTCGTGCCTGGCCACGATCATGCGCAGCGGCTTAGCGGCAGTGATAATTCTCGTGTTAGTATAATAATTACAACTCTTGTACGATGTACAGTCAATAACAGTAAAAGTTCAAAATGTACAATATTTTTGAGGCAGCTCATTGATGCAGTATATGCAAGGCCCAAGTCACTCTCAGAGAGTCTTCACCAATTTTGGGCTTGTTAGCACAAACAACATGACCAGGGATGCTGATTTTCTCTGATTGAAAAAAATACCCAATTTTAAGTTAAAAAAATAAGTAATTCCAAATCCACATTTTTCCATGATTAAAGTGAACCACTATCTTTAGTGTAGATGTCAATCTATAAAGTGGTGTTTCATTTAAAGGGAAAAATGTGGATTTGGGGTTGTCTTTTTAACAAAACTGGAAAACCTTTTTTTTTTTTTTTTTTTTTTTTTTTTTTTTAATTTTTAAAAATTTTTTTAAAAAAAAAAAACACAAAAAAAAAAGCAAAAAAAACCAAACAGACCATAACAAAAGGCTCAAAATGACCTCCAACAGAGGCCTCACAAAAGGATAATACAACTTTTCAAATAACATTAAAAAAAACCCTCTGAATTTATATCATTGCATGTCATCTCATTTTTACACGGTATATACAAACATCCTTGAGTAGTGTCTATCAAACACATATCGTGTTAGACATCCTGTACTTTCCCAGAAAAAGGAAACTCAGAACACTGTGCAATAGAGGTCCCTTTGTTGTCTCTATCCCATGTACAACCCTAGCCAACCTTTTCTATCCACAAAGGCTGACTCTTAGTTTAGCCTAAAACTGGAAAACCTGGGCTTCAAAGAAAATGGTACTTATGACTGTTTGCCTCACAATAAATGCTTCAGCTTTGACGATCCAGTTCTCACTCACTCATTGACAAGTCACAGTGAGTAAAATAAAGTAAATAAGGCTTATTTGCATACTTATTTGTAATTTTAATGTATAATAGTTTTTCAGCAAATACAGTAATTTTGAGCTTCCAATACAATCATGTCATTTTAAGACCTGGTAACACTCAAGACTAGTCACCAGCACCATTGGTTGGTACTGGAGACATCCCCAGCAGGGGCAGGAGCAGGGATGGTGTCAGCGTGGGGCAGTCTCACAACTGTGGCTATTCAATAATACGTAAAAGCCACACAAGTGCATGAGGGCCAGGCTCTGCTGTCACCACTTGGCCCTGTGGTGCCTGGGGCCCCATGTGCCTGCCCCCTGGTTTTGTTCTGGAGCTGAATGTGCTGCCCTGGCCCTTGCCCTCACCCCGCTCACCTTTTGGGGGTGGCATTGGTGTAAAATGATTCTCGAACAGGGTGCCACCATGCTAGCACTCTGAGGTGTGCAAGTGCCATTTGCAAGATCACGCCCCAGATTCCCACTAGGAAGCTGCTGGAATAAAAAAAACCCTGCTCTGCTGTGGTCCTCCTCAGTTCTTTGTAATAGAATAATTGCTATGATATGTTTCTCTACTCAAAAAGGAGTGAAAGTCCAAGGGCTGCCATTTTCTGAGGGGTGGCTTGAGTCTAATGAAGGGCCCCTCTAACCTAACTAGGGAATAAAGAGTTGGGTTGCATGTGACACAGTATGTCTGGAATCACCCCAAGTTCTGTGTTCCTGCAGCCCTTTGCATGCCCTGAAAGAGCTGTGACATTATTGTGTCCCAGGCCTTATTAGTGGTGTATGGGAACTCAGGCGATTAGTCAAGGACATACTGCAGAGTAAGAGTTTTGAAGTGACGGGAGCCCAAGAAGGGTGGCTGTGCCTTAAGGAAATGATCCTTTGGGCACATCGGGAGATGATCCCGATGCGAGGAAAAAGAGGGAAAGGGGCCAGGAGGCTTCCTTGGCTGACCAGAGAAATCCAGGGCAGCCTACGGGCCAAAAGGGGGGCACATAAAAAGTGGAAACAGGGAGAGATCACCAAAGAGGAGTATACCTCCTCTGCTCGCGCTTGTAGGGAGGCAGTTAGACGGGCCAAAGCTACCATGGAGCTGAGGATGGCATCCCAAGTAAAGGATAACAAGAAATTGTTTTTTAGATATATAGGGAGTAAAAGGAAGGCCCAGGGAGGAATAGGACCCCTACTAAAAGGGCAGAAGCAATTGGTGATGGACAGGGGGGACAAGGCTGAACTCCTCAA